AAAAATGGTTTTTTTTTTTTTTTTTTTTTTTTTTTTTTTTGCATAAACCTTTCAAAGCCTACACTTAAACTGGTCGATCCATGAATCAAAAATAAAGATAACAGTTTGAGAAAATATATAAAACTATATTTATTTATAAAAAAAACTGAAAATCTAAATCATGACTTTTTAAATATTTGTTTTTTATATGTTACTTGTTGATATTTGATAATTTTTCACAATATCCTAATAAGTAATAATATATGAATAAATCACGAAATTAAATAGTTACTAAAAACAGTAATTAAAACACAAAGGAGGCAGAAAATGACACCAATAGTTATCAATAACTAAGTTACTAAATGCCTCTAAGTCTCTTACACATCAATCAAGTATTAAAAAGTTTGACAAATATATTATTTACTAAAATTAATTTTTAAATACATTTTCAATGACTTGGATTTAAAATTTTAAACCAAAACAAATAGTTGTTGATCATATTTACTCTTTCAAAAATCCAAATCATTATATCATTGTTAGATTTTCATTTATCAATTTCTCACATATTCTTCGAAAATTTCTAAATTTGTCAATTTTTTGTGTCATCATGCAAAATCTTAATTTGAGGTTTCGATGAAGTTAGAGATACTCACTTGCTATGTGTAGGTCAATTTAAGAGTAAATGAGACAAAAGAAATTGAGTGATCAAATTTTCTTTAAATGAAGATAATGTTGAGTATTTTATCAATATGAGTTTTTATTTATTTATCAATATATGCACCTTTTTTACTTTAGAAAATTTTACAACAATTTTTTTAATTGATAAGTATAAAGATTAAGTTTTAGTAATCTTACCTTCAGATTTAAACCTAGTTATACGTATACATTTGTATGATTGTGATTGATTTTTGTTTGTGACTTTATGTTAGATTTTGTCAAGTATTTATAAAGAAGATTTTGGGTTTTACAAGTTTATTTTTTGTGTTTGAAAAAGTAATATTTATATTATTTCTTTACATTATTTTTTTTTTCCTTTTTTATGAGATGTTCGGTATGATTTTTCATATATTTGGTTGTTTGTCGCTTTGTTTTACCTTTTCCATATATATATTATGTAGTGTAGAGTTTGTTTAGGTATTTATAGCTATTTGTTACATACTTCTTTATGTTTTTACTTAAATGCGAGGTGCTGTTTGCTTGATTATTAATGTGGTTTATTATTTTGCCTTGTTTCATTATTGTTTTTACGAGAGAATAATGTTTTCTTTATTGATGTTTCTATTGTTGGTTTCACTGTTTGTTTATTGGAATACAATTTCACTAGCGCATGAGAGGTTTTTTTTCCATCAATTAAAAAGCACAATCTACATTAGTTGTAAGAATTAAAGTAGAATTTTACTTGGGTTAGATTTGAACCGATGTAGAAATGTGAAAAGAAACCCAATTCAATCCACCACTCTTCTCCTTCTCTACTTGCTCCTCTAGTCGCACGCGCCTCTTCTCCACCTCACACATTCTCTCCTAAACTCCATATTTGTTTGTTTTTTCTTTCAACAATATGAAATCCATAATAGTTAAAGGGTTTTTTTGCTTTGAAAAGATATTTACTAATTACATTTTTTTTATTTTATGAAAATAGTTTTCATTTTCAAGTTTTTAAAAATTAGAAATTATGTTTGATTTAAGTTTCTATTTTCTGTTTTCAAGAATTAAAATATTAAGAATGTGTTTGGCATAATTATTTATCATATAAGTTCACGAAGTGCTTTTTTATTTAAATTAAATTTAATAAAAGAAGTGTCAAATTTTTGCTAACAAGAGTAACATTATTTGATATTGACTCAAAAGAAAAGAAAAACGCAAAATTTCAAGACAAGAGAAGCAAACTTGCTTTAGAATTTTTTATGGTTTAGGATTTGGGGTTTATCAGTAACGTTCCCCTCTTTTTGAGCGTCATTTGTGTTTTGGGCATCAATATATAATACAGTATACTACACGATTTGTTATTTGAACCGATATATTTTTTTATATCAATTATTTTTTAATTAACGTAAAAAAGTTGTTTTAATCGTAAAAATATCATCGCATCATTTTTTACCTCAGTTTTCAGATGATGCAAAATAATTTTTTTTTAATTAATTTTTATTAATAATATTTAAAATAATATTACCTCATTTAAATCAATGCCGTGTTTCATTTCATCACATGAGATCTTTTGTACAAAAGTTACATTTATTTATTTATATTATAAAGGGGAGGACTTCATGCATTCAAAGATTAGAATGTAAATGTTTATTTTGAATCTATTGTTCGACTTTAAAATATAATAAATGACAAAATTCGTGATAAATAGTTTCACACATTTTATTGATCAAAGCTCCATTAGTAAAAAAAACTTGTGAAAAATCACCCGCGTATATTGTTATAAATGAAAGTCACAAAATTTAAAATAATTTTATATTAAATAAATTTAAAAAAGATGTTTTTTTTTAAAATATTTATGATGAATGTCTATACTATATAATAAAAAAAATAAAAAGAAGAAAATTAAGAAAAAAAGTAGTTAACAGGAAAAAAAATCAATAAAAATCCAAAATAAATTTAAATATAAATTTAAAAGTATTTATTATATTTTTTAAATAATAAAATAATAATTTAGTTTTTATTTATTATAGTCATAATAATATAATAGTATATTTTCATCTCCACTTTCTTCACTATTATTTTCTTTCTAAATTAAAAAAAGAAGAAATTTAGTATGAGATTCACGTTATATATTATAAATTCAAATGAGTGTGTTTTGTTTCTCATCTTTTGTTTTTCCATTACCTGTCTTGCATTCCAAACAAGGATTTATTATTTTACTTATGTAATCAATTATTCAATTAAGAAGAAGTGAATAATAATAATAAGGTATAGCGAGAATACGGGGTGAAAAAAGAAAAAAGGTAGTAGATTTTTGACGCATGCGTTTTTCCTCGTTGTATCGGTGTTCCAAATATGGCTCCTTATGAAGAATCAGCAGCAGATGACCCCGTATTTGGTTGTGTTTCAAAAGCTCATCTCCGTTTTCATCATCTTCTTCCTTCGCCATCTTCCCCAAACCCAAACCCAAACCCGCGCCACACGGCCCAAATACACCACTTTTGATACTCTCACTATTCGCACACCCAACAACTTCAACGGAACGGAACCCCTTCCTCCTTCTTCCCCTTTCATCCCATTCCTATGGCCAAGGGTTTCAGCTAATAACACCCACGCGCCTACATTCAGGTTCTTACCCAATTCACCCTTGCGAATCTCATTTTTATTCAACCCCTGTGTCTTATGTGTTTATTTTCCTTCAATTTTCTGCTTAGGTTTTGATTTTTTTTTTCTTTCTTAAAACAAAAATTTATCTACTTTTTTTTTCCTATATGTCGATTTTAACTGTGAATGGAACCGCAACGTAATGCCCAAGTGCCGCGTTACTCTTATTGCTTCGAATTTTGTAGTGAACCTGTGTTAAAGAGAATAGTTTTAATTAATATTCGGGTTTGAATTTCATTGTGTTCAACTCTAGTTTGTTGCGTGTACAGTAGAAGAACGAAGTTATAGTTAGGTTAAATTGGAAAATGTTTGATCTTGATAATGATCAATGTGATTGATTGATTGATGATGGTTTCGTGGTATTCAATTGCAGCGGAAGCAATAGTGGTTTGTGAGGGTTTTCCCTCAGGAGTAGTTGGAACTGCAAGAGGGGGAACAGGAACCTGTGCTGTTGTATAATAACGAGTTTTATAATGGAAGATTTGGGAGGTACCCGGTTCGATGGCCTCAGCAGTGCTGTGAGGAGGAAGAGGAGTCAAACTTTGCGCCGGCCACGACCTGATTCACAGCCTGCTTCAGAAGGTCAAGAAATGTCTCCCTTGTCTTCGACGCCTTCAGAGGATGTTGGCAAGGCCTCTAGTGATGAGAATGTTGGTTATGATGCGAATTCCAAGAGAAAGGAATTCAATCTTAATCACTGTGTCTCTCAAACCGTGTCTGCTACCGGAGCTGAAGATGATAAATCCCATAAAAAGAGTAAAAAGGATGGAGGGTTCCATGCGTTTTATAATAGTGAGCCTGGACGTAGTGGATTGCATAATAAACGCTGTAGTGAAGGTGTTCTTGCTCCAGCAAATTGGAAAGGTTCTAGCAAAGCAAAGGATAGCTTGGATTCAGAGTTGAGAAGCGTGGATTTATATGGTGGAAGGAATCCAGAGAGTCTGAGTTTGGGGCAATTTGGTGGCTCTCAGGATGGATTGGGGAATGAGAGCCGGGTTAAAAAGGTTAAACTCAAGGTTGGCGGGGTGACGCGTACTATTCAAGCCAATTCAGCAACCAATGGTGCTTCAGGGAGTGGGTCAACAATGAAGAGTTCTCGTTCATTGGATGCGTCCAGACCACGCCAAAAGCAACAGGTATTTTGTGGTGGCATCTTACTCCTCCATATTAATGGTTATATAATATGTTATCGATATAGAACCATTTGAATGTGTCTACATGGTACATAAAAGCTTAAACTTTTAGGATAATTGGTCCTTGACTTGTTATCTGAGCCTCTATGGCTAACAGTGTGTTTGGGTTGGTGTTGAAACTCAAAAAAACGCATGTTAAACATAAAGCAAGTATCTCCTTGCTTCTACATTTTAGCATTGGAAAGTGGGAAAGGTTAGTTACATTGTTCGAAACGTTTTCCTAAACATACATTAAGTATTTATGAATTTGATCCCGTTGTCCTAATTGTTCTTAATTACATTAAATTTCAATGGAAGCTAAAGTGGGCACGTGCCTTGCCAATGTGTCAGGCTCTAATAGCTCTTGCGAGAAAGAGAGCATTTGCTTTAGAATAATTTAAGTGCTTCCACCAAAAAGCTTAGTTGCTCTGAGATACCTTATATAGGTTTTGGTTTGTAGATATTTGCCTTTTTCACATTTAATCATTAATAGGTAAGAAGTCTCTATAAAATTTCATTTCACGAGGTTATTGTGGCCTCTCTTATCTGACCTGTCCGGGAGTGGGAGGTTGGTATGGGCTTCTTAGATCTCACACTATTGGAAGAGTATCTCTTGCCTTGATTTCTTATCTGTAAATATATTATTCTCTCATTTCTTTTTAACTTACTGAATCTAATTTGATTGCTCTCTTCAATCTGTTTTATTACAGAGTAATTCAGACGATAATAATTCTCCTTCTGAGAAGAGGAGTGGTCTACAAGGTGTTCCGTGGAAGGATTTCTCAAGAGGTGGTTTCGGTCTTGGGAAGGAGGAATCGTCGATGGGGAAGATTTCTGGAAAGAACACATCTAGTAAGGTGGGAGACAAGTCTGAACCGGTTCGTAAGAGCAAGCGAGTACCAAAGAGACGTGTACTTGATGGAGAATTTGGCGACGATGATGACGACGACGATGAAATTCGGTACTTGGAAAAGCTGAAAACGTCCAAAGTTTCTGCAGTCTATAGAGATGAAGAAGAATTAAGCAAGAAACATCGAAAACTATCCAGTGTCTCTAATATGGAAAATGCTGCCTCAACTAGGTCAGGCAAAGACGGTAAGAAAAGGTCTAGATCTGATAGAGTGTATGAGGACACAGATTATGAGGACGAAGAGGAGTCAGGGTCTGATGGTGAGGTTGAGGATAAGAAAAAGAAAAAACAGAGGAAGGAATCTGTTGATGTATTAATGGACAGTAAGAGGGAAATGACTCTTACAACTCGTCAACGTGCCCTTCAATCAAGCAAAGATGCATCTGCATCTGGTGCTAGTTTAATCGAGTTTCCCAATGGATTACCACCTGCCCCACCTAGAAGTGAGCATTTATCTGTACTGTATTTTGTTTTTTCCATGTCATATACTTGATCATTAACCATCTTGCTTAACTACAGAGCAAAAGGAGAAGCTTTCAGAGGTAGACCAGCAATTGAAGAAAGCTGAGGCTGCCCAGAGGCGTAGAATGCAAGTTGAGAAAGCTGCCAGGGAATCTGAGGTTTGTTTTTGTTCTCTCCACTCTCCAAATTACAGTTTTTTTCCTCTCTGATGTTGGATTTTACACTAAAAGGTATGTCCATTTGAATTCATTTTGTAGGCTGAAGCTATCAGAAAAATACTTGGTCAAGACTCCAGCAGGAAAAAGCGAGAAGAGAAAATAAAGAAGCGCCAGGAAGAACTGGCACAGGTATTGCACTTTCCAACACTCAATTTTTTTGTGTTGCTTTCAGTTTTTATTAATTTATTCTTTGCAGGAAAAGGCAGCCAATGCACTAATGCTTGCATCAGATACCATCAGATACACAATGGGCCCAACTGGAACAATTGTGACTTTTCCTGAGGAAATGGGGCTTCCTAGCGTATTGAACTCCAAACCTGTTAGGTATCAAGCTATGCTAATTTGATATATGGGACCTGTTAGACCATCTTCCTGTTAAGTTGTTTAAATATGTAAGGCAACTAGAATGAAAAAAAAATGAAAATTGATTTTAAAAAACTGTGTTATATCAAAAGAAACAGTGTTGGCTTTACCTGTTTCCATGATTTGACTACAATCATTGGACCTAAGTTAGATACTCATGCTTGTATCCAGCTTTGCTAATTTGATGTATGGGACTTTGTCAGATTGTCTTCCTGATGACTTTTAGAAGGCTTGAGAAATAAAATATTTGGGGGCAGGGGGAAGAGGAATTGATATTAAAAATTTATGCTGTTTATCAATAAAGAAATCTTTAGCTATTTCCCTGATTTTTGACAATTACAAATGCTGGTCAAATGTTAGAAACTCATGCTGTTTGTTTGGTAAACATATCAAAACTTTCCTTCTTTGCTAATGATATCTATTACTGGGTATTGTTTCAGTTATCCCCCACCTCGCGAGAAGTGTGCTGGTCCATCTTGTACAAATCCTTACAAGTATCGGGATTCAAAATCAAAGCTTCCTCTTTGCAGTCTCCAATGCTACAAGGCTGTTCAGGAGAAGGTAGCGGCTGAAACTATCTGTTGATGCTGTCATTGATCATCTATCACTGGTTTCTGCCAGTTATATGGCACCGTCATGTTTTTATCTTTCACAGAGGCTTTTGCTAAGCAATTGTCCATTGATCGTTTGGTAGAGAGCTCATATCGCGGATTGTGCATTTGCTTTATTATACTTTTTTTTTTTAAATGCTGGTATAAGAGGTTATGTGATATTGGTATCCAATTAACTGGGAATGGATACATATATAGCATGGACAGACCTGTCTTGTTTTGTTTATTACCCTGGCTTTTTTAGTAGGAATACTAGATGAGTCATTTTGACGTTAACTTGCAATAGGAAAATTAAAGGAACTTGTATGTTTTTGCGATGAATGCATGGTTGCTCCTTTTAAAATAGTTAATATTGTATTGTTAGTTTGTTATGTTACTTTGATGTTGCCAGTGATCCTCTGTAAGTATGACAGTATCACTGGGTTATGCCGAGTTATGTGCCACCTTCTAAGTTTATATCTCCAGGTAGCGGATATAGTTTAGAGCAATGATGCCTTGAGTGGTCATGTTGTGGAATACTTATTTGCTTAATCATACTTTTTTTAATGCTGCCGCAAGAGTGCATAAGATAATACTGTTATAGGACAATATTTGATAAATTCTTTGACAAAATTTGAATATAAAGTGTGTGATGTTAATATAATGTTATTTAAAATGACCATTTAATCATTTGATAAACACAAGTTAACAAAGATCTCTTAATATTAGATATTGAAAAAAATAATTTTAACTTTAGATGGATAAAAGTACGAAAACGATTATAAATTAAAAATCGTACATTTTATAACAATTAAAATTATATTTAAACACTATTTAAGTATGTGATACACTTGACCCATAGGAAGGAGAGGGAGGAGAAAAGAGATGGGAAAGAGGATAGACTGAAATGTGAAAATTTAAACTTGTTATATGTTATACAACTTCTTTAATGAGATTTTAATATGTTTGGGAGAGGGGTGAGTGATTTTATTGGACGAAGTCACAAAGGAATTTTTTTTATGATATTATTTGGGTTAGTTGAAACGTGAGGGGGAGAAGAGAGTAGGATTTCTTTGTTTGGTTATGGTTAACAAAAGAGTGGGGAAAAAAAATAACAATGAATGGGAAAGGTAGGCGAATATAATCATAGGATAATTTTGTGAATACATTATTTTTAATATTTTGTTTCGAGGCAATTTTAATTAATCTGGGTAAGATTATTATATATAATAATTTTTTTAATATTTAATGTAATCATATGTTCAAGACTCAAATTTAAGGTCTTTGATTAATTTAAAATAATTTGGCATTAGTTTATTTACGTGTTTAATGGAATTTCGTTAATAATTCCTATTTACAAGAAACAAACAAGAGTATTATTTTGATTCTAATTATAAAAAATATAAATTATAAAAAATATAAATTATAATTAATTGGTAGTTTCTTTTTATAATCTTGATTTATTACGTGTCTATTAATGAGTCATCCACTCATTTTCTATGGGAATTGATGATTTTATTGGGATTAGTAACATAATTAGTCATGTTAACTGGATGAAAAAATTATTCCTTAATTTATGTGTTGTGTCATCAAAATATAATTATCACTTACACTATTTAATTATCTAAGTTCTTTGAAATAAAATTTCAACTTGTGATATTGTTAATTAAAACTAATTAATTTTACAACCTTAATTAATTTTGATGAAGTTGATATTAATTTCTTGTATACAAACTAACAAGTTGTGGATTCAAAAAGTATTGAACTCAATTTCCTTAAACAAAGTATTGAATTCGAGTTTTGCAAATAATAAAGTTAATTAAGAGAAAAGATCTTATCAAAACTAATTAACCAAACTCTCCTATGAAGATGAATAATGCGCAAAGCTGAAATATATTCCTTAGTTCATATTAATAATATGATAACTCAAAAAAAAAAATCCTTATATACAAGAATAAATGTTGTACAATAAAAAAAATATAAACATTTTTTTCTTTTTCAAATCTCTCGTGATTACTTTTTCATTTTTTTATTTCTCGCAAATTTTCAAACTAAACAAAATAAAATTAAGAAATTCCTTTCCTTAGTGCATAAAAAAACAATTATTTTTGGTCTTTAACTAATATTTTAGTCTGTATATAGTCATGTTTATTATATATAATTAAAATTAACAAATTATATATAAATAAATATTATGTTTAAATGTAAAAAGGTTTGTATAAATATATTTTTTAAACATATAAATTTTATTTTAAATTTATGATAAATAATTTATATTGTAGTAAAAAATATTTTATTTATTTAATAAAAACTCGTATTTAATATAAAAGAGTTGGTATTCAGGTTTAATTATGTTTTCAATCCTCCAAATTTGATATATATATTTTTTTGGTCTCCAAAATTAAGAATTTATATTTTTAGTTCCAAAATATTAAAAATTATTATTTTAGTCTCTCAAATTAAAAAAAAAATTTAGCCATTGTAATTTTAAAAAAACTGTTTTTGCCCCGACATACATTTTTTTAGTCCTCAAATTTAAAATATGTGTTTTAGTCTCTAAAATATAAAAAATTGTTATTTTAGTCTCTCTGTTCAAACATTATTTAATAAATCTGACACAAATAAGTCTTTTATTAGTCATTGTTAATTAAATTATCATATTAAGGGGACATTTGGTAGGATTTTTTTTCTTTCAAATACTTAATTATGCTTCCTGAAAATAGCTAAAATATATTTAGTTACTCGTAAAAGTTTATGGTTAATATAGGATTTTCAAAAATTAAATTTTTTCATGTTTAGTTACAATAATATATTATTGAATATATAAATAAATTTTTTATAAAAATATATTTTATTAAAATAAACTCATTAGATATATTTTTTTACTCAAAATTTATTACAAATATCACATTGAGCTATTTTGAAAAGCTAAAAATTTACTGAACTTATTTAATTAAAGAATTCAATAAAAAAGAAAAGAAAAATGTTATATTATAATTAAGAAGAAAAAATATATATTATTTTATTTCATTCAAATAAAAAAGTGTTAAAATATATTATTAAAATATATAAAAAAAATAAACTTCAATAATATTATTAAAATTAACAAGATTAAAAAATAATGAGATATGAGAAAGAGCCAGGAAAATAGAGATTTGGGAGAGGTAGAGAAAGAGGAAGGAAGGGGAGTGAGAGTGAGACAGACAAAGAGCGAGAAAAAGGAACAAGAGGAATGGAGGAGAGAGGGAGAAGGAGAGGGAGAGGGGTAGTGAGAGTGAGAGAAATAAAAAGAAGTAGAGAGACAAATAATTTTTTATTTTTTATTGTAAAAATGATATTGTGATCTTTTTACGATAATGTTTTTGTAGAAAAGTGAGATAAAAATAATTTTCAAAAAATTATACTTTTGAGAATCTTTTTTTAAATAACAAGATTTGTGATTCACGATTTTTAAAAATGTAAAAACATTTCACATACTAAATGTCTTCTAAAATTAAACAAATTAGTATTATATATTTGTTTTAATTTGTTATCGTCAATTATGTTATTAGTGATATTGAGAGATTAAAACAATATCATTTTTTGAAATTATAATGACTAAAAATATAAAATTTAAATTTAAGAAAGTAAAATAATATATTTTATTTTTATTTTGGAGACTAAATTCACATGTTTTAAATTTGAGGGATAAAAAAATATATAAAGAAACTAAAACACTATTTTTTGAAATTAGAAGGATTAAAAACACAATTTTAAATTTGAGAGTTCAAAAAATAATTATCTTAATTTTGAAGGACTAAAAAAATAAGTAAGTCTAATATTTATTTTAAAATTATAAAAAAAACTAAAATAAATAAATAATATTTATTTTAAAAATGCATAAAGTTTTCACTAACATGTATCACAAACAATTATGAGTGACTAAAATAATCACTTAATCTTTTGGTAAATATATAAACAATTAAAAAATATATAATAGTATGAATTAAAAATATTTTAAAATTATAAAGATAAAAATAAAGAATTATTTTTTTGTAAAGGAAAAATCAAAACTTACTTACAAAAAAATAATATTTAAATTTAAAATTAATTAAAGTAGGATGAATTATGAGATAAACTTGTTAAATTAAATTACACTTTAAATTATACTATTTTTGTCAATATGTTATTTTAGTTATTTTATTTTAAAATAGAGATATTAAGTCATTTTATTTTTTAAAAATATAAAAATTTAATTTTATCATGATATCTACAAATAATTAAATTTTAACATTATCCAATGATCTATTATCATTTAAGTAACATAATATTTAATGATACAACATATATAAATAAAAATTAAAGAATAACATACAAAAATTTATTTTAATAAGTAATAAACATTTATTTTATTAACATATCTTATTTATAATTTATATATACATTTTTTATTTTTAATTATCATAATATTAAATATTACATCATGTAAATATAAAAAAAATATTAAAACTTATAGATTAATTAATATTAATTTAATAAAAACATCAAAATTTTATATTTTTTAAAAATAAAAAATTAAATATTTTCATTTTAAAATAAAAGAATGAAAATTGTAGTAAATGTGTAATTAGCCATAATCAAAATTGAATTTCATTAGAATGTAAAACTGAACTTTATGTTAGTAGCTTGTTGGTAATTGAAGGAAGCAAAGCAAAAGCCAAAGCAAATTATAGAATGGCGCATGCTCTATGCAGCTCTCTTGTTCTTTCCTCACCCTCCCATACTTCTAATTCTCACTCTCATACACACACTCACACCCTCTCCTGGTAAGCTATTCGCCACACATTTTTTCATTTTACGACATCTCAGGTTTAGTTTAGGGTTTATCAAATATATTCCCAACATTAGCAATGCCTTCAATTTTCTATTCTTTCTCTGCTACTGTGGTTATTTGTTTCTTTCTCAATGTTTTGCAGGAAATTAGTTGGGAATATAAAGAGTACTAAAAAATCTCCCGGGAAGCTGAAGGCCGTGTATGCTAATGAATTTTGGGCGCCAAAGAGGACTTCAATTCAGGGAATTTGGTCCATAAGGTTTTTTTTTTTTTTCCCCCTCTTGTTATCACTTTTTTGCTTTAGACTTTTAGCTTTTTATCATTGTCTCACTACATATATAATTTTTTTGATTATGTCTTGAAAGGGATGATTTGCAAGTCCCATCTTCCCCTTATTTCCCTGCATATGCACAAGGACAAGGACCACCACCAATGGTGCAGGAGCGCTTCCAGAGTGTTATTAGTCAGCTTTTTCAACATGTAGGCCCTTATTTCACCCTTATGTTAAATGTTCACCCTCTGTTTAGTCTTTGTCTTTCAATTATTAATATATTTTGGCTTTTAGAGAATAATACGTTGTGGGGGAGCCGTTGATGATGATATGGCTAACATCATAGTTGCCCAGCTTCTTTATCTTGACGCTGTCGATCCTCACAAGGTTTGTTCTTCATTTTTGGTTATTGAAAACTTGTTTTAGTCCTTATATAGCAGTCCCTTTGAGGATGACATCCAAATTCAGTGTTTATATTTTGGTTTTTCCTCATTGTTAATAGGATTGTACCCTGTGTCTGCTTTAATTTTTTTGTGTTAGTTTTGAACTTAATTATGGGAGTGCAAGGATTTAATCAACTACTAATTATGGATCAGGATATTGTCATGTATGTAAATTCTCCAGGAGGATCAGTTACAGCTGGTAATAATTATTTATGTGAACCTGCCTTGGATTAGTTTATTGTATTCGATCTATGCATAGACTTAAAACGCAATGTATTAATTTTTTTTTTTTTAAAATCTGATGTGCTTCACTTTTCCTTTTTGTTAGGCATGGCAATATTTGATACAATGAGGCATATTCGACCTGATGTGTCCACTGTTTGTGTAGGATTAGCAGCTAGGTAATGTTTAGTTCTTTTTCTGGGCAAGATTATCTTCATTTTCCCAAGTTACCCCTGGTGAAAGCTTTTTTCAGCCCTTTTGCTGGCTGCTTGGTGAATTAACACATTAATAATTTATTGTCTTAACACCCTTTCTGTATGATCGGGCAAATGGATCAAATGGCACCATAATGTTTTATTGTGAATCTTGTTTGTAGACAAATCAATTCTTTTTATAGTTTCGTCTTTATTATTTCTTAAGAGTTCCTCTACTTCTACAATAGGGCTATCATCCACTTTCCAGTCCCCGCTTGAAAATCTTATAGTTTATATTACCCTCTATTTCTTGTTAGCATTAATAAATGGCACTGAAATTGATTGATAGTTGATTGTGCACTCAGTAATAAATCTTTTTTTTTCCATCCATACTTATATCGATTGCCCTTTCCATGAGCAGTATGGGTGCTTTTCTGCTTAGTGCAGGGACCAAAGGTAATGATTCCTTTAATTTGCAATCATTGCGTGTATTTGTTCCTTGTTTTTTATTTTTTGGTGATTCTCATTTCCCTATTTTCTCCATGAAAGAAAAATGCTGCTTCTAACTTTATGTCCCTTCCTCTCTTCTGAAGGAAAGAGGTATAGCTTGCCAAATTCAAGGATAATGATTCACCAACCGCTTGGTGGAGCTCAAGGAGGACAAACTGACATAGATATTCAGGTATTGGCTCTGTTTTCCACCTTCTATTGCATGAGCCGCTTATTTGCTTCTAATAGTTTACATACTTTTATTGTTGGAAATTAAAGTGTATCTTGGTATTTGAAGTTGAGTAAGTGTTCTGGTAGAAAGACCCATTTTTTTCTCTTTTTAATTGAGCTTGATGAAATACCAAGAATAGAAATGAATTTTTCTTATGTAACAAATCAATCAAATTGGTCCTCAGTATAGAGAGAAAATCCTTGTTGGATATTTAAGTTAACTTCTGCAGTTTTCAACCACAAATGGTTTATTTCTTTGCCAGGGAGTTATTCTCCATGTGGCAATTCAGTTTAAATTACAATTCTTGAGATTTGTTCACATGGCTGTAGTACAAGGTGCCAAAATGTTGAGTAATAGATTAAGTTTATGGCTACATCTAGCTCTTGATTGTCTTCTTTCAAGAAAGTCTCTTGGAGTTGAATATTTAAAAACTTGGGTTTAAGTTTGAGGCAGATTTTACATTTTCATCAACCTAATCAGCTTATGAAAATTAAAATGTATGCAATCCAGTCTTTCATCAGATGAAGCAATCCAATCCGGAATCAATTAGTTTTTTATATATGATACTTTATATAGGTAGAAATGGCCCCGAAAACCCTAATGTTGTTTTTCTTTTCCGTTCCTTACCATTATATTGTTTTAGTTTCATTAGGATTTGGTTGGATTGAATTCCTATTTGTTCTTTAGAGCATCTTGCAATTAAGCAGTGATACTACCCATGAGTTTACCAAAGGAGGACCTGATGGATTTGCCAGTTTTATTGCTTTTTGAGTCTGATAACTCTTATTAGATATAACTAATTATGAATCATGATCCTCAGGCAAATGAAATGCTGCATCATAAGGCAAACCTGAATGGGTATCTCTCCTATCACACTGGCCAAAGTTTAGAAAAGATCAACCAGGATACAGACCGTGATTTTTTCATGAGTGCAAAAGAAGCCAAAGAATACGGACTCATAGACGGTGTCATCATGAATCCTCTCAAGGCTCTCCAGCCATTGCCGGCTGCAGCAGAGGGTAAAGATCGGGCTAGCATTTGAACTTGAGACAATTGCTTAGTGTTGAATAAGAACGATATTTTACACGTTGATTTCAGTGTAACCATGCACCCATATGTCGAGGTAGAAAGGAAGCCCCCCTCATCTCTTCAATCTTTTTTATTCTTTACATACTTGTTTCATGGAATTGGATTTATGGGAACATTAACGGCCAACTTTGTTTTTAACTAAGAAAGAAATCTACATCGTCAAGCTTTCCCAATGCACTTCTCACTTATGGAGCCGTGCACCGGTGTTTTAGGATTTGGAGGTTCGGGATATGGATTCCAACTGCTATTGGATAAGGTGTCTGCAGTTGGATTCCTTCGTAATAATGGAAATGATACGAGGCAATCGTGACCTTTTCTCTGCGTGTTCATGTAATCGGATATTGAAGTTACCGGATAGAATAATAAAATCTGAGAAAACGATTAGGTTACGTAAATTCTCATTTTTAAAACTACAATGGATATACATCATCTTTAATGTAGTCGTATTTTCTGGTACAACAAACCATCAATCATACAAGAAAGGTAAATCATGTAACAATTTGCTTATAGAGTAGGATAAAAAGCATTATTTAATCACCAAAAAGTAAGATTACTTGTATTATAAATGATAGATTTATTAGAATAGCTAGTCCTATCAAGTGCTCTAAGGACATTAATTAAAAAATTAATATATAAAAATATTTTTATTAAAATTACTTTACAGTTGCATTAGAAATTATTCTAATTCTTTAACTAGATAAAGATATAAGTTAGTATTTTCTATTAGAATATACTTAAGAGTCTAAATGTCCAATCATAAATTATTAGGTATGATTATTATTTTTATACTACCTTTACTCCTAATTATAAATAATAAATTGTTTTATAAAATTATAAAAATTTCTTTTATATTCTTAATTAATTGTTAATTTGATTTTTTATGCATTCATTTATAATTAGTATTAAATATAACAACTTAAAACAAATGGTATTTTTGGAATAAAATTAGAATTTATGGTAAAATTAATTAAAACAACCGATTTAATTAATTTTGTTAATTTATTTTATATTGATTATAATAAGGACTAGAGGTAGTAAAAAATATTTCAAAAAAAAAATATTTATGATAATTTTTAATAGTTGATGGTATACAAATATTTATAAAAACATATCAAAATTCTTTATATACTCTTGATTATTATTAATTCTATTTTTATGCATGCAATTATAATTAGCATTAAATATAACAACTTAAAAAAATGGTAAATAAAATTAGAATTTATGGTAAAATTAATTAAAAACAATTAACTTAATTAATTTTTTTTATAATTTATCTTATGTTGATTATGATTACGACTAGAGGTAGTAAAAATATTTATAAAAAAAACATATTTATAATAATTTTTAATAGTTGGTGGTATACAAATCTTTCTAAAATATATCAAAATTAAATACAAATGAGTTTACAAAAAATAAAACATAGAATTGATTGCAGGAATGATTAACACAATAGGGGTTTGGTCTACAAGAAAATGTGTACATATAATATACATATGTTAAAAAAATATATATACATGAAATGAAATAATCTCTTTTATTAATGTAACATGTGTATGACTAAAAAATGTATATATCTCTTCTTTATTAATAGTAAATTAAAATTAAAATATCACATTTTCATAAATAAAAAACTTAAAATTTATTAATTTTTTTATATAGAAAAATATGATATTATAATTATTAAATAAATAACATTTTATTTTTTTTCATTAATATATGAAATATTAATGTCGTTGTTGTACTTTAAAATTTATTTTAAGGTTAAGATTATTAATTTTCTATATTATATTTTAGTTACATCTTGAATTATTAATTTTAAAATTCATTATATTTAGAAATATGGTTTATTAGACATAAATATGTATTTGCCTTTTTTTTTTTTTTTAACATTTTTGTTTGAGTAAATAGTTTTATGGACTGAAGATGTAAGTTTTTATACGGCCAACTAATTAAAATTTTTTCATTTATGATTAATTTATTAATTTTTATAATAATTATTTAAAAATATATTAATGATAATTTCTAACCGATTGATATGATTTTTTATTTATTTTTTTACATAGAACTCAAACTGATCTTTGCGCCATTTTTTCTTTAAATATTTAAAAGCCATGTATCTGTAATTCTTATCAAGAGACTAAAAACATATTGCTTTTATTTATTGATTTTTGAGGAATATATTGCTTTTATTGAAAGTAACCAAAATAACACTATATTTTCAAGTACCCAAAACACCAATAACATACATACCGCATTAAATTATTATGTGTTTATATATGTATCTCCAATGAATAATAGTTTAATCCTTTTATGTTTTTACCATTTTTATATAAATATTTTAAAGTATTTAAAGAAATAAAGTGAAAATAACATAACATTTTTAGACTATGGATATTGATTTCAGTAGTATGAGATAGATTATCAAAGAATTTAATAGTTAGATTTCTCACTGTGAAAGCATATAGGCAGCAACTCAAAGAGCTTACTAAAATATGTAGAACGATAACAAAGATATTGTACATATTATGTGAATTCCATTACTAGAATGATCCTATTGGTATATTACTATGCGAGTTTGGCATCTTCTGTAATGGAACTTTTCGTTTGAAAGATCTAAACTCGAGTACTATGGACTTTTAAGAAGCACATTTCTCCATCAACGTTAGTACTGCCAAAATGGTGTGGCACCGGCATGAAACGAACCACTCAAAGATTCATGATAGCAAAATATATATAAATAAATAAAGCATGTCACAACTGCCAAAAGAAAGTAACACTTTATCTTCCATCAAATGAGGCACCCAAGACCTCCTTTGCTCAGTGCTTCTTAGATAGACACACACCAGCACTAACTTGAGAACCTCGTGCCTTCTTTTAATACAACTAAGTAAATGACAATAAACTCCACTCTTCAATCTTCACTTTCCCTTCCATGTTTCTGCTTCATCACCATGTGCTTACATATATTTGTTATTTTTTTTTTAAAGCTACATGCATATTAGGTTACACTACATAATTTGATTTTAGTTTATTAAAAAAAATTTAAAAACAATATTTTTAGAAAAGTCTATTCAAATATATTAATTATCTTCCTTAATGTGTACAACATCTTCACCATCCAAATTTATTTTTGAAACAATAAAATATAAAATAATTTTGTATGCAGTTGTCATATACCAACAAATTATTAGTTTGAATATATTAGTTTTTATTGGTCCTCTTGTCTAAATTATTTTAGACATAAAGTACATAAAAATTAAATAAATTATTAATAATATTTATTACACCTATATTCTACCTAGTAAACATGCATGCAATTAGTGCATAATATAAAGAAAATTGATTACGGAAATAATTATATACCATTGATTGTGAGCCATCATTCTTTAACTACAAGAGCTGATGATTTTGTCTACACACTAACCCTGGTCATTTAAAAAACTATATGAAATGTATACAAGCATGGATGAAAACAATACATACAATATAGTTAAGAAAGTACCGAAACAACAAGTGAATCAAGAAGGGGCAACGGGAATCCTTTCATCGGAAAAAATGCTCCTCGTAAAGTGCAAGAAAGAAGAAGACATGGGCAACTCCTCAAGCTCATCGAAGAAATCAAGTTCTTCGTTTTTGGAAGCAGACAAGTTCTTGAATTGTGCATAACAAAGGGGCTCTTCCTCCAAGAGGAGATCCATTCTGTCATGGCTTTTCTCCGTGTTCAGTTTGAAAGGGTCTTCTTGTTCTATGATGATGTCTTGAGAGCATCGTATTGGAGATTGCAAGTATTGAAAAGTTTCTTCATTTGTGATTTCATCATTTGTCTTGTTATTATTCTCTTGCTCTTCTATTTTTTCTTGGTCTTCCTCCTTTGGGGTAGGTGAGACATCTTGGATGGTCTTTGATTCAGATTCTTTTGGTTGTTGAGGTGAATTTGTGGTAGTGGGACATGGATGGTTATGTGTAGAGGTATATGTGATGATGAGCATTGAAGCATCTGTTCTGCATCTCTCTACTTGTTTTTTGGCTGAACAACCTTTGGATGTGCTGCACTTGTAATAGCCCCTGCATAATTGAAGCAAAACCAAACTTATAGATCTTGCTAAACTTTAGGCCATAAATGAAGTTAGCATTTTAATTAGAATTAAAATAGGGGTGATTCTAGTTAGAGAGATACATCCAATCGATGCAATCTGACTATAATGCAATCAATTAAGAGTTAAAAGGCACTAAATTGAACAACTTTTTTTTTTCTTTCTCAATTCTAATTTTTATGTGGGTTTAGAATCACAAGGACAAGCAAAGACTGTGAATATGGGACTATGGGGTCATATGGATCAAGAACAGACCATGTTGTAGTAGAAAGAATGTACACCTTGGATATGGAGACCCTTTAATTGGCTTTTGTCCATATTTCCTCCAAGACCAAAAATCTGAGGGTAGCCCTTCATTTTTCAGCTTGCCAACATTCTCTCCTATCCTCACTGCCACAACTGTTTTCTCAACCATTTTCCTGTCACATGCACAACATATAGAAAACTAGAAAAAAGAAATGGTCTATTTTCATTTTTTTTAAGAAAGCATTTAACCCACCTTTTCTTTGATGTTTGAGATTCTGAGTCAGGTTGGGGGGAGGCTTTAGTATTACTGTCCATAGCTATGTATTTCTCTTTTTTAATGTCTTGGAGCAAGCTAGCTTGATCTGAAAAATGGAGCTATGATTGATTAGAGAGAGAAAATATAGTATAGTAGAAAGAAGGAGAGGGAAGAGATAATGGCAAAGGCAGCAAGTTGCTCTCTCTCTTTCTTTTCACTCATTTAATATAAAGTTATGAACAAGTATGCACATATCACTAGCAGCAGCCCCAGCAACCCCACCTTGTAATATAGTATTAATATTAATAAACAGTCTTAAATAAGATATTTTAATTTCAGAATTAGCTGCACCAAGGTTGGCCATGCTGTCACTGCACAGAATTCATCACTGCCACGTGGAATAGATATCCTATGTAAAACCAAAAATGAAATCCCAATTTTGAGGAAATATGCTATTGGCAAGTTTGATTCTATCACTTACTAAAATCATTTTCGGTGACCATCCAAACAGTCACATTTAGTTTAAAAAATATTCTTTTTAATTTTCTTATGAATTTTTGTTTTAAAAAAATAATTACCTTTTCTTATAACTAAGGCGTTTGTACCAAATTATTTTTATTAACATAAGTTAATTTAAATATAAATTCAGAAAAATTAAATGCTAATAAAATAAAAAGATGCAACAGTCTTGCGTTGACTTGATCATTGGAATGAAAAATGCTATCTTAGTAATTTCAGTTATTATTAAAAAAATAATAAAGGAAGTCTTATTGTGTTAGTTGAACAGGATATGTGAATTATTATAAATTCTTAACATATGTTGGATTCTCACAGATTAAAAAAAAAATAGGTGCATGAAAATAAAGTAAATAAATGGTAATGAAATAGTCGTTTTTTGTTATAGTTATTTATTTCAAATGTTTTTTTATTTATTGTTGTTATATTTATGTTTTAAATTTTCATATATCAATAATATTATAATTTTTAATTATATAATATATATATATAAGGATTAGAACAATATAAATAAATGCCATTTCAGTATAGGGCTATCTCGTTTTCTAACTATGATTGGAAACTCCTACTCATTTTGTTTCTATCAGACAAATCTCCAAAGATCCAGTGATATGACAATGGAATTTCATCATTAGGTAGGCCTTTTTACTTTAGAGGGTGAAAAAGCAGAAAAGGGCCTTGGAAGATAGTGTCCAATTTAGATTGTCGGGCTTGAGAAATGATTAACCAATCCATAAGGTCTTGACCTCTTTTCCAAACACGATATAGACAAAGATAAGGAAATAATCCACACATTACACAACAACAAGGACTCTTCACCTTTGTTTTATACCAACTGCCCAACTTTTAAAATTAATCCATTGACAGTAAAAATTTCAAAACTTTGTCTACTCTCCATTGTCAAGAGATGTATGAGTTTATTTTACTTTACACTGTTTGGAAAAGTAAAAATAGGTATCAAATATCTATGTAACGTGACGTTATTGATTTTACTTTCTTTATTTGCACCTGTTTTCTAACCTAAACTAAAAAAAAAATCAAAATAGATAGCACGTTCTGGTCTTTATTTAGAAACTAAACCGTAACTTTAAGTAACTTTAAGTCCTCTTTGCTTCTATGGACTATTTATGCATATAGAAAGCGATGTATGGAACGTGTTTGTTTCGAGTGAAATATGAAGAAAGAAAAGTGGGGAAAAGTAAGAGAGCTGTACGGAGGGTTTTTCGATAAATCATGGAAAAAGATGAAGAAAGTCACGTTGGTAAGGATAGAAAGACGTGGTTACCCTTCTAAAAATGCAATTATCCATCACGTTGCATGCATAGATTCATCTTACGATACAGGTTAACGGGGCCATTTACTGGGCATAATCGATTATGACCAAGTACATAATCGATTATGCTTCAAATAAATTAAAACAACCCAGTAGTCTAACGATTAGGATTAGTCCAACCTGGGTTCGACTTCTGTCAAACGCATTTTCTTTTAGCATTTTTCTTAATTTTTTAAAATAATATATACACGTGTCTCTATTTAATATTTAAATAAAAATTATCTTATATTATATATATATATAATATTTAAATCATAGAAAAAATATTTTTTTCAATATTTTAAATATAGTCAAAATATCAATTAAATTATTAAAATAATAATATTATTTATTTGTATTATAAAACTGCTAATAATAAAATTAAAAAAGAATCTTAAATTAATTTTATCATTAAATTTAAGGCAAATATTTAAATTAAATTATTTTTAAATTAAGATTTTATATTTATTTTTTTAGTTAAAATTTTTATATTTATCTTTTAATTATAATAATTATAAACTTTTTTAACCTAAGGGTAAAATAGTAATCTTACAAAATCATCCATTAAAAAATTCATTTTTATCTATCACATCAATCAATTCACTCACAAACTTTCTCTACACTTTCCACTCACTTTTTTTAATCCAAACAACTTCACTTTCCACTCACTTTCTCTTCAAATCCCTCCTTTTTTACTTCCCTTTTTCCATCTTCAAATCTAAACAAAGGCTAAGAGAAAAAAATCCAAACACAGTAAATGATCAATTGTGAATCGGGACTCCTGTGAATTATGATGATGACATGTTGAAAAATCAAAACTTATTTTCGATAATAAAACTCTCAAAATACTTTTAAATTTTTATCGATAAGATTCATTGAGCAATGTACATGTTTTAGAATTATTCTACTTTCTTGTTATAAAAAAAATTAATTAAACGTGACCAAAATACTATAATTTAGTAATAAAAGATAAAGCATAGGTATGATGAGTCACATTATTAAGTTGAGAAATAAAATTCGAATCCTAAAAAACACAATTATTAGTAGTTTTTCCCCTTCTTAATCAGAGTAACAGTGATACCTATAGTCCTATTGTATATGTAAAGGACACCCTATTTAAAGGTTAAAGAGAAAAGATATTTATAAAAAAATGGTAAATCATTCAAATAAATGTTTTATTAATTATCTTTTCTTAATAAGTACACATTTTCTCAATCCTTGTGATTATGATAATGGAGGATCACTGTCAGTTATATCCTCCTCCCACAAACTACAAAAGTACAAAATATGTATAATAACTATTGGATAAGCTCGAAGAGGTTTTAACTCAATTGACAACAATTCTTGAAGAAATTTTTGTTGGGTATTATTTGATTATATTGTTCTGAATATTTATGTTTCACTAACTATATAAGTTAATACAAGAACGACATACAGAATGACAATGATAATGCAATACTACGCCTCCTTTATTTACTGGTAAAATTTTAAACGTCAAATTAAATTGCTAACAATCTAATCATAAAAAATATTGTAATATTTTAAACACATAAAAGATGAACTGTGGATGTGGATTTTGGATCAATCTTATATATAATTGAAAGGTGGGAACCACGGAAGCGCCGAATAGGCCTCCTAGATTCCCAAATGGCTGATTCCTTTATCCCTCAAACTGGTTAAATTAAATATTCGTGAGGTCACGTTGGTTTCATATTTTAAAATCACTTTTATATATATATAAAATTAAAAGGGAGTGTAGCAGATTATTTTACGTATATTTTAAGAATACATGAACTCGACAATATTAATATTATAATCATATTTTTTTCTCAAACAAATGAAATGTACACAAACTTTCTTTAACATTATCAGGTGTTGTAAAAAATAATTTATAATCCTGACAATACTTATAAAACATATTTCTAATTTTAAATATATTTGTAGTGAATATTACTTGCAAAAGATTTGGAAATAAGTATAACACCTGAAGACAAAATATTATTTAGTGAATAAAAGTTGAGAGAATCGGTCTTGTGACAAAGAAAAGATTTCCAAATGGCTGATTCCTTTTATCCGTCAAATTTGGAGGCAATCTTAAATCCGAATTCGAAAGATAGCACAAGTCCACAACCAAAGCAACGCGCAAAAGAATGAAAACACGTATAAAAAGAAGAATAAAGTGTTTATATGTATATATAGTGAACAATGTTCATATTTATATATAAAAATATATTTGGCAAGATGATTGAAGACAATGTCATGTAAAATGTCAACTGAACAAGCAACGGACGTGGCAACCACCTTGAATTCGTAATCCAGCAACTAGGTGTGAAGTCACGTATGCCTGAATGTTAAATAAAGAGGGATATTGGTGTTTAATTTGTTTGAAACACTCGTCATGGTAGCTATGGGCACCATGAACATGCATGATGAGAAAGCCAAAGAGCTCTTGAAGTACTCAAGCCCAAAAGAGATCTTCCACCTCTTCACCCTCACCCTCCTCACCCTTCTCTTACCCCTCTCCTTTCTGCTCCTAGCAAAATTCTCCTATCTCCAAACCCTCACTTGGCACCACTTTCCCTTTCTTCTAACACTCGCACTTCACATCAACCAACTCATTCTTTATGTTCTTGTTTCCATCGTTAGCATGGCTACCCTCATCCACGCCTTCACGGGGAAAATAATCATTCTGAGTAGTGAAAGTGACTCATCATCCAACGCTCTTTTTCAACCTCGTCTCTTGTTAGCGTGGATTCTCCTTTGCGCGTTCCAAGTTTGCGTTGGGTTGGGCATCGAGGGAACCATTGAAGCGGGGCTATATGGATCGAGTTTTGGCGCGGAGATGGGCTTCATGAGCAGAGTGGTTTTCCTGTTGGGCCTGCACGAGACCGCGCAGGTTTGGGCCAGAATGGTGGTGAGGCCCGTGGTGGATGACACCGTGTTTGGGCTTGCGAGAAAAGAGAGATGGGTGGAGAGGGTGGCCGCGGCTGCGAGCTTAGGCGCCTTGTGGTGGTGGAGGTTGAGGGAGGACGTGGAGAGTTTGGTCGATGTGAGAGTAAGTGACTTTGTTGGCTGCTGCCTCTATTATCTTACTCTCACAATTGGGATGCTAAGGCTCGTAAAGGCTCTTCTGTGGATTGCCACTATTTGTTTGTGCAGAATAAGGGCGACAATTTCCACCGTGGAACATTCTCAGAATGATCATAACGTGTAAATTTAACCAGTGCTGTAATTGTATTTTTATTTTTATTTAGAGCTATTCAAATATTGCATTTATTACTTCTCAAAATTGTAATCAACTTGGACTCCATTTTGTATTGACACCAGTCACACCACATGTATTCCGCGTTATGATAATTTACTTGGACGGGTATAACTTAATTATCCAAGTTCTTCACTTCCAATACGAGTTCTTCTTGGATGACATTATATCATAAATATTGTGATTGTACATGTCTCAATAAGGGAAGGTAAGAAGGGAAACATTCGTAATGTGAAGCAACTTCTTTCTAATCATATTCTCTTTCCCCCAAAAATCAAGTAACTACATTCGTAATGATACTCCAGCTTTCACTTAAGAGTTAAGACCCATTTGTTTTAATAAGTTAAAATAAAAGTTATTTAGTGATATATAAATATAATGTGATAATTTTTATAATAAAAAAATTCTTAATAAGAAATATGCTTTTACAATTACAAACAGGGCCTTGTTCGTATATAAAAGAGGGTGAATGCGAACAATTCTTTGCATAACAAAAATAAAAAAGACGATAAACACACCTCCACTATCGTATAAACACACCCTCTTTTTTGAAAAAAAAAATATAAAATGTCTAAATTACCCTTTTAAAAAAATGAAATTTCTAAATTTACACCTCCCTTCCCTGCACCCCCTTTCCCCGCACTCCACACTCTACACTCCACACTCATCTTCTTACCAAAGCCTCTTTCTGCTCAATGTCATTAAGCAATATACTTTTACAGTCATTCTGAATAGAAAAAAAGGACTAGCCCCACCATAACCAGCATAAAAAAGGTATTTTTACGGTCATTAGCATTCCGGAAAGTACTTTTATAGTCATTAGCATTCCGGAAAGTACTTTTCAGAATAGTAAAATTATTGTTCATATAATTCCGGAAAGAACTTTCCGTAATAGTAACTTTAATATTATGGAAAGTACTTTCCAGAATTATGTAACACAACATTTCCGGAAAATACTTTCCGGAATAAGAATTTAATATTATGGAAAGTATTTTCCGGAACATTTTTATATAATTCCAGAAAGAACTTTCCGTAACAGTAAGAAGAAGAAGAAGAGGAGTGCCAGAAAGAGAAAGAAGAGGGGTGTGCGAGGTGCGGGAAAAAAAAAGAAGAGGAGTGCTAGAAAGAGAAAGAAGAGGGGTGCGCAATGTCAGCAGGTAGTCTTGTAAGAGAAAGACTCTTACTTGTTCTATGGAAAGACACACTAGTACAAAAATGACTTTTAAAATCGGAGTTTTAAAATCAGTCATAAGGTAGCCATTTTAAAAGTGACGCGGTGGCCTGTACTGCAATAGAACGGCCCCAGAACGGCCCGTACTGCAAGCAGAACGGCCTGTACTGCTTGCAGAACGGGGCGTTCTTCAATCAGAACGGGGCGTTCTGCAATCAGAATGGGGCGTTCTGCAATCAGAACGGGGCGTTCTGTAATCAGAACGGGTCGTTCTTCTTGCAGCACGACCCGTTCTGGTGTCGTTCTGGTGCCGTTCTAGTACGGGGAAGGGAGGTGTAAATTTAGGAATTTCATTTTTTTTAAAGGGTAATTTAGACATTTTATATATTTTTTTAAAAAAAGGGAGTGTGTTTATACGAGAGTGGAGGTGTGTTTATCATCTGAAAAAAAAAAAAAAAAAACCTTTCGTTTAAGATGTATGCATGAAATTAGCTGGTCCGCGGCCCAATGTTTGCATAACCATTGGTTGCATAACCATTGGCCCAAGCAGAAGTCCACCACAATTTGGTTCTGTTGGCTGAAATCCATGGGCATTCTCTGTTAAAAGCTTTCCCCATGGACCGACTCATTTCCATACCCTATGCCCCACTCCGAGACAAACAATTCAAATTAATTATTTATCTATAAACAAAAAGGTGCTTATTTTATATTACACTAATTGTAATTAGTTTATGATAATTTCTTTTTGACTTATTCACGTACATATACTTGTTTTATGGCATGTCAAGGTGGGTTGAAAACCTCAACTTGTACTACAAAAAGATAAGTTACTCATTCAGATTTAATTCATTTTGTCACTTTTAATTAATAGATTGACTCATTAAAAAATTGACGGTTTAATTCATCAAAATCCGCTTAGAAAATATGAAAAGAAAGATTATTAAAAATATTAATTCATTCCCTTTTAACTTTTGATTGTGACAATAACATGGCTTCAATTGTGGTCTCATTAGTCACATTTATCTGTAATTTCTTATAATATCAAGAAATATGATGGAATTGCAATTGTTACCACAACTTTAAATCTTAAAAAATAATATTAATTTTTAGATATTTTTTTAATAGAATCTTACATGATTATCACATATTTTTAATTAAAATCAATTATTTTCTTAAAAAAAACAAAGCAAACATTTTTTTTTCACTTAGCAAATTACATAATTAATTATTAATTTTTATGGCATATTACTTTTTAAAATGAATACTTTCATTATATTTTATCTCATATATTATTATTTCTCATAACATATTTATTTTACCGTGTGATCAATTAAAACAAAATTATTCTAACTTAACTCAACTAATTATTTTAAATTTGAATTTTGAGTAGACAATTGTTGTTGTGTACTACACTCTTTTTAATATTCTCTTTCTAACGGTTTTCATTTGCAATTTTTTTTTAAATATCACGTATTTTGTAAATCATATATCTCATTTAATAAGTCTATTTTAATTTAATGGTAAAAATTACTAAAATTTTTAATTTTAAAAAAATAACAGCAAATGTTAGTAATTTTTAAAAATTTAACAGAAAATATTAGTAATAAAGTGTTAAAGAGTGTGTGAGTAATATTTTTCTCATGTTAAATATAATAAATTTGTCGTTTATAATAGTATCTCATGAGCATTTTTTTTAATAAATATTCTTCATAGTTATTTTGGCACATACACTTGTATTAAAAAAATGCAGATAAAGTCACTTTGGTGTTGTAGTGTAGTGTTGTTGGACTCCCTTGTTTTCTTGGGAAGCGTCAATCTCCTAGTTTTATTAAATCTCTCCTTCATTTTCTTGGTCCGTCTAATCAACCATCTGGCTGAACTTCCTATGAAAACCTTTACTCAGCTGTTACTTTCTGGCATCTTCCACCTTAAACAATGACAAACACCATTCATAATTAAATACCAATCTATAATTACGTTTTGTTTGATCAAATTATCGGGTCTTTTATAATTGCTGGCTGACGACGACTGCGATATGATAACATCGAGGACATCACCCTCAGAGTTACATGTTCCAATTACTTTCATAAATTTTGTGATGGCATGGTAAGTTTCTTCAATCATTTATACGATACAAGATTCATTTTCCACTTTGAACCATGATAATAGATACCCTCTCCTCGATGTTTATCTAGACAACCACACTGTCTCGGGTGTAAATTGCTGAACACTTTCTTGATTTCTGTTGTAATCCGACATGGAATTTGACCAATTTTCTTCCCCAGCTTTGAACTTCAAAGGAATCCAGGTGGGTTACGAGTCTATACAAGAGGATGCGTTCCAAGGGAACGAGAGCTTCTCTGGAATGGAATTGCTGGGAGAGATTGAGTCTCTCCCTCATGAGAATGGAAAAGGAGACAAATTATTCAAAGATCAAAATCTTAAACAGATACAAGAATCCCAAGTTGATAACTCGGTGTTAGAAGAGATCAACTTTGACTCTGGTATGAAAATGCAAGAAACACAACTATTTCATGAAATTACAGGGATAAAAAAACACGGTGTGGCAATATCAGAATCAGTTGAATACAATAAGCAGCTGCCACCAACATTGGCATCCCTAGAGCTTCTGAGAAATTACGGAAGCAGGTTCAAGGGGCTAGGCGAGCAAAATACAAGCACCTTAAGCAATATTGAAACTTCTTTGGATCATCAGATGATGTCAACTGAAGAAATAATAAGAGTGGCTGGAGCAAGGTATTGTTTCATATATTAATTGACTCGATTAGGAAGTTAGATTTAGTTAGAAATAAATAGTTGGAGAGTTGTTATTCTCCACGTACGTGTATATTACGCATATAGCCTAATTGTTCTCATTTTCAATCAATAACACATTTTTCATTGGACAAAACTAACATGCAATTATTTTTTAGATGTTTTTGTATTGTTTTTCTTTTATAATAGGTGTTTTGCCTTGGTAATATATATAACAAAAATTTGCTTTAAAGATCAACAACGTAAATTATGGAGGTGAAATTCGAATATCTGATTAGAAAAAAAATTTGTATGTGTCTTTTGTCCTTTATGATATTTATCAACATCTCTCTTATGATCTTGGGCTTTGCCATGCTTCTCAACAGGTATGTCCAATATTCTGCACATTGGAATGATAGTTTTTGCATCCCTATGCACCCATACGGATTGGACCTTGGTGGTTTGTCCGAGGAAGAAAATAGAGATGTAGAACTTGCTCAGTTTCTCCTTGGTGCAGCTGAGAGGGTAGGTTGCCAACAATTTGAACGTGCAAACAGGTTACTTCTCCATTGCCAATGGAATGCATCTGCCAGTGCAACCCCTGTTCAAAGAGTTATCTTTCATTTCGCTCGAGCACTTCGAGAGAGAATTGACAAAGAAATAGGAAGGATCACGGTAAATGGATCAGAGAAAAATGAAGAAAGGGAGTTACTTCAGAAGATGGACACCAATGTTGCCCTCACATGCCATCAAAAAATTCCTTTCAATCAAGTAATGCAACTTACCGGGATACAAGCTATAGTGGAACATGTTGCACGTGAGACCAAAATCCATCTTTTAGACCTTGAAATAAAACGTGGGGTGCATTGCATAGCTTTGATGCAAGCGCTGACGGAGCGCCAGGATTGCACAGTGAAACTTTTGAAGATAACTGCCATTGGACTTAATGAATGCAAAACCAAGATAGAAGAGACTTGCAAAAGATTAGCTAGTTTTGCTGAATCCTTGAACTTACCCTTTTCATATAAGACAGTTTTTGTGAATGACATGGAAGAAATAAGGGACGATCATTTTGAAATTGAAGAGGATGAAGCTGTGGCTGTGTACTCTCCATATTTTCTAAGGTGCATGGTAGCAAGGCCATATTGCATGGAAAACCTGATGAGGGTTATAAGAAATATCAAACCAGTTATAATGATAGTCCTTGAAGTAGAAGCAAACCATAATTCACCCTCCTTTGTGACTCGCTTCATTGAGGCATTGTTCTTCTACTCAGCTTTTTTTGATTGCCTTGAAACCTGCATAAAACATGAGATTGAGAGCAGAATGACAATCGAAGAAGTGTTATCTGAAGGGATACGAAACATTGTTGCAATGGAAGGAAGGGAAAGGACAGTGAGAAATGTGAAGATAAATGTTTGGAGAAGGTTCTTTGCAAGGTACCGAATGGTGGAAACCGGGTTTAGTGAGTCATCTATGTACCAAGCTGAATTGGTGGCCAAAGAGTTTGCTTTTGGGAAATTCTGCACTATAGACAAGAATGGTAAGTGTCTTATAGTTGGATGGAAGGGGACCCCAATGCATTCAATCTCAGCTTGGAGGTTTCTTTGACAAAGTTATTAGAGATAGTTACTGAATAGAGACATATTTGAATCATTTGTAAAGTAGAATGCTAATTTGTAGTTGTTTACTGTTGTACGATTCTCTGGATTTTATAACAAGCTTGTCCCGATTTGTTGATCTCAGTTCCGATTTAACTATTCTTTACTTTATATTTTTTTTTTCATGAAAATAATTTGCATAGTGTTTAAAAATTGATACACAAAAATTAATGTGTACTCATAGATAGTAATTGTCACTCATTAAATATTATTTTAATACTGATTTTGGTAGCGAAATTTTAAGGGGTCTCTTTAACAAAATTAACTTGTTTGGTCTATAGTTTGTAAATCATGATTTAGCGTAATTAATAAAGATAAAATAATAATAAAAAAACTTCTATTCAGATATTGGTTTGAGAACCCAAAAACATTACTCAATTTTGTGAAACCTAGCTATAATTTTGTCAAACAAGTTACTCGGGAGTCAAACTCAATTTGTAGTTTTCTACTCTCCAAACCGAGGTTTGATATTGATGAGTACCAAATGAACAAATTTTATTCTTACTTTTTTTAATAAAATAAATAATTTTTTTGTAAAATAGTGAGTAGGTCAAATATACTGTGATCGTTAAACTTATTTCTCGTGAAATTAGATTGGACAATAAAAAGAAAGGAAGAGTGTTTGAGTAGAAACAAAAATTAGATAAAGCAAAAATGATAACAAAAAAAGAGAATAATACAATTTATGAAATTCAACAATTAAATGACTAACTAAATCTAAGGTTCTTAGGACTGTAATATATCAAAGATATTAGTTTCTCATAAGAAAAATTAGTTCTAGTTGTTAACGAGATATAATATAACAATCAATATCTCCTTACCTTTTCTATAATCAAGAAAAATTCATTGATTGTTTTTTCACTTCATTAATGTATGCATTCTCGGAATCTCATATAACAAGTTTGTCCCAATTCGTTTAATCTTTTTTTTACTTGCACTACTAGAAAAGTGTCATTTTCTTGTAAATTTTTCTACAAAAAAATATTCGCAGAAATTTTTTGTGAATTTTCTTGTAAAAAAATATTTGCAAAATTTTTTTACGAATTTTCTTGAAAAAAAATATTTGCAGAATATTTTTGCGAATTTATTTACAAAAAATAATTTATAAATATTTCTTACAAACTTTGCTACAATTTTAATAATCATAGAAATTTTTTTCCATGGTAAAAATTTGCAGAAAATATTATAATAATTTTATTTTGTTTCTTGCAGATTTTCTTGCAAAAATAAATTCACAAGTAATGTTTACTAAATGGTAGAAAAATTTTGCAGGTAACTTTTCCTGCGAATTTTCCTGCAAATTTTAATCCATAAGAAAAATAATAAAAAAATATTTAAATTTATAAATTTAATATTTTAAAAAAACTTCAAGTCCCACATCGATTGAAAATAAAGCAATTAAAGAGTATATAAGTTGGGGCAACACTTACCTTACAAGTTGATTTGTATGGTTGAGTGTTAGGTTTATAATTTACGATCTTAGAATTTAAAAGATTATGTATCACATGTTGGAGGCATAGAAACAAATGGTTCGGATGAATTCGTTGTGAGCATTTGAAAGTTAAAAAATTATTGATAGAATTTATAGTAATTTTTTTTGTAAAAAATATTTCTGCAAAATTTCTTGCGAAAAAATTCGCAGGAAACTTTCCTGCGAAATTCTTTTTGCAGGAAACTTTTCTGCAAATTTTTTTCTGCATGAAACTTTCCTGCGAATTTTTTTTGCAAGAAATTTCGCAGGAAAATTTCTTGCGAATTTTAAAATTCGCAAAAACATATTATCTACGAAGGTATTACCTACAGATAAAATTTCGCAAAAAAATTGCAAGAACAACATTTCCTGCGAATTTTTATGAAAAATTCGCAAGAAAAATCGCATGTAATAAAAGAAATTTTAGTAGTGTTGCGATTAATATTTCATTAACACATGATAAGAAAACTTGATTGATATTATTATAATGTATAACTTTTTTACTTCAAATAATTATTTTATTATTCAAATTTCTTGATTTATAAGGTGATATTTATTTTTTACATATATAATGTGTTATAACGTGACTTAAATTTTTTCTTGTTATTTTTTATTGGTCTGATCATAATTATTTTCTAAATTCAGTAAATTTGTTCAAATATATAAAATTTATGTATAGTGTTTTTTTTATCCATCAAAATTACGAAAACAACAACAAAATTTGAACTTAAAATTGTTTTTATACTAATCCTATCTCTTACCACTAGACTCACATAATGGTTCTCATCACCGGCCTCACATAATGGTTCTCATGTGTAAGCCTTTAAACAAATTTGAAATTTATAAAGTGACGAATATAAAAGTAACGAATCACATATTAAATAATTATTCAAAATTTTAAATTTATAAAGCTTTATTACCAACATTTAAAATTTTGCATAAAAATATATAAAAAGAAATAATAATATTTTATGTATTTATACCATCCACTTAAAGTATTATAGCTTCTCCATTTTTCATTGACAGTTAAAACTTAAAATAATGAACTTAACTAGAAGCCTTTGAAAAAAAAAAAATTAACATGTTAATTATTATGTCACAATCTATCGTCAACATAAACTACAACACTGTTATTTTATTGTTAATTAATGAGTGGAGATTTAATTATAAGATTTTTAAATTATAAAAAAAATTAAAGTGTTTTTAACTATTGAGCCTAATTAAAAATTAAAAAGTTATATAAATTTTTAGATTAATTTAACTTAAAATATTATTTTTTTTACATAAAATAGTAGATACGGAGATAACGCTCTCTTAATTATTAGATAGAGATTAAGATTTTTAGATCAAGTGTCATTCACTACAACACAAATAGTATTTAACAACATTTGAAAAATGTTACTTAATTATGTATAAATGTTGCTAATTTGTTTTAGTAACATATTATCAAATGTTGTATATAGTCCATGTTGTTAAAGACTTTTAATAACATTTTTGCATAATTAAGTAACATTTTTTAAATATTACCAAAGTAGTATTTTTGTAACATTTTAATAATTTTTTGTAACATTTTAATGATGTTGCCAATATTTGTTAATCTTATAAAATAATAATTAATTTTAGTTTAAATATTACTATCAATTATTATATTTTTATGTCTCCTAAAAATCTAAAAGTTCTTTAAGTTTTTAGGAAAAGACATTTTTAGTTAGTCAGCACTAATTATATATAGAATATCAAATTTTATTTATCTTAAATATAACTATATGAGTATATATACTCTTTATAAGTCATTAATCTATTCGATGTGGGACTTTAATTATGAGTTACAATTAGATATAAGAGAAATATACTTTGTTTACTCGATGTGGGACTTTGATTTTAGAAGCAATTATAGTAACATTTTTCAAAAAAATGTTGTAAAATAACTTATGTAAAAAAATTTTACTCGATATGGAACTTTGATTTTGAAAACAATTAGAAAAAATAATATTGAAATAAAAAATGTTACTCTATCTATAATGATATTTTTCAAAAAAATGTTACAAAATAATATTTATTTAATATATAATAACATTTTAATAAAATGTAAACAAAAAAATGTTGCTAAAAGATTAAAATCTAGTAGTCATTGTTTACTTGAATAATCCAAACTCATTCATATTTAATTTGACATATGACTTGACAACTACCAATCAAAGTAGAATTTAAACCTATAATATATTTATTTCATAATTTAATACCATAAAATTTTATTGACTATAAATTATTTATCATAGTAAATAAATGTATGACCTTTAATGTAATCAATACATCAAATATTTTAAAGCCATAAAATTTTACTGACTATAAATATAATTATTTATTATAGCAAATAAATGCATGGCTTTTATTAATGTAATCAATACATCAAATATTAAATTTGTTTATTATAAAATAGTTATTAAAGTTAATAAATGTTTGACTTTTGATATATACAGTGTGTTAATGTATGTCTTAAATATATTTTTAGTGTATTAGTGTGTATATGCGTCTTAAATATATTTTTAATTTAGTCTCTAAAATTTAAAATTAATTTTTTTAGTTATTATAATTTAAAAGAATATTATTTTAGTTTTATACTCAAATTTTGTTAGATAATCCGTTAAATATTATTACATAAAATTTACCTACTAATATCTTTTTATGTAAAAATATCACATTAAATTTAATTATATCGCATAACTATTTTAATTTGTCACTTTTATATATATTATTAGTGACCTGAGGAATTAAAATAAATTTTTTAAAATTATAAAGACTAAAAATAATAATTTTAAATTTGAGGGATCAAAAATAAATTTATCTTAAATTAGAGGATTAAACAAAATTAAGCCTAATGCATTTAAATTATTATTAAATATAAATTAATTATTACATAATAATTTGATACTCCCTCCCTCTCCCCTTCTCTCCCTCTTTATATATATATAATATTAAAATGTATTTTATAAATTAGGCTTCTAAAAATAACAACTTTTTAATGTAAAAAATAAATAGAAATTAAAATAAAATTTAAATAGAAACAATTTTTTTATTAATAAATTTAAAAATATTTTTTATATATATATATATATATATATATATATTTAAAATATGCTTTAAAGAAGTCAAAATGAAAGACATATTAATGCTCTCACGTTGTCTTTTTTTTTTTTTTATAAGTTAACAACTAAATTTGACCCAATTATTTTTATATAAGCTGATAATATAGTAACTCGAAATTCATTTATTTTTAACTATTAAATGAAAATTTATAGATTATAGATATTATTAAATTTATAGTTTATTTTATATATTAGCTAAATTAGGTTTCATTAAAGAACATAAATTATTTTATAAATTAAAATAAAAAATTATAATTTCCTTTTAATAAAACAACAATGATGATAATGTAAAATAGAATCACAATATATAAAGAGTATTATTTTTTAGGTGTCTACTTTAGAAATAAATTATATCTTTATTCTATATTTTAACTTTTAATCTATTAATATATATTTTAAAGATGGAATAGAAAAAGATACGTATAAAAAAATAATTTATTCATCCATTTTATTTAACTTCAAAAAAGAAAAAAATCTGCTCATTCATTAAAGAATAACTTCTTACTCTTGTTTTTTGTGCTTTTTTTTTTTTTTTTAAATTATTACAATGTTCCTTTCAATAAAATAACATAATTATGTCTTCAGCATATAAACCTTCTCTAATAATTATATCTATCATGTTATTTTTATTAACAATGTAAAAATAGTGCATGAACTATATTTTTTCAATAAAAAAATTGCAGGTATATATATATATATATTCTTTTGAAAGTAATTCAAAAAATGGAAAATGCTAAAAATAGAATAAATTTAATTTTTTCTTTTAATAATTATTCAATATTGGAGCTCTTCTCATAAAATATTTAACGAGGAAGATAATACATACTTTTTATATTTTAATATATTAAATTTTTAAACTTTTATTAAATATATTCCTATTAATATATCAGGAAAAACGTTACTAATGAACATGTTTGAAAATTGAGTTTTTTTCTTCAATAGTTTATAGACTTAAATACGATAGATCGATATGATATTTTCAAGATGATTTAACAATATTAAAATAATACTTAACAAAAATAACTCACGTTTCATGAATATAAATTAATTATTGATTATAAATTTTAAATCCTAAAACTATTAGGAAAAGATAAACAAGAAATACACTATTAATTTATTTTTTAATGAATTTTAATTAAGCTTAAATATATTTTTAGTTTATGTAAAATAAACATGTTTTGATTTTGGTTTATACATAATTTTTTTTTTGTTTTTTATCTCTCTAAAATTCAAATTTTTAGTTTTAATCCTATTGTTATGTGACCATTTTTAATTATTTATGTGTTCATTAGAATGATATATATGTAGCTATCCCAAGTAATATCTATAATTGTATGTGATACTTTATTTGTATATGACACTTCTATATTTTTCAATAAATTCTTAAAATAATTGTTATATACTTTGAAATAGTCATTAGAGATTAAAAACAATAGTGACTTCAAATTTTAGAAAGATAAAATAAAAGGAATATTTTATAGGGACTAAAACTAAAATTTGTTCATTTTACAAAAATCAACAATAATGTTTACAAAGTTTAGGAGGATGAAAAACAATTTTTTTTACAAGAACTAAAATAAAAGATTGCTCATTTTATAGAGACTAAAAATATAGTTAAAAAAATTTAACTAATAATAATGAAAAAATATTCACTTATTCTAAATATAAGTTTTGATAAATTTATTTCACTCAATTAATAATTCACTCTCTAAATTGAATTTCAACAATCATGTTAAATTAAATTTTTTTAATATATAAGTTCTACAAATTTTTATAAAATTTGAAAATTATTAATATAAATCGACAGATAATCATAAAATTATTTTATACATTAATTTGAATTAATAAAATAAAGTATTAAATAATTTTTAAATTTTATAAAAATTTATAAATTTAATCTATTTATTAAAAATTATTAATATAATATTTATATCGTTAAAATTTGGTGTAAAATATAAATTATTAAGTGAAGTAAATAAATCGATTAATATATATATTTAAGAAAATATGTTAAAAAATTATGTTTGTACCCTCTTAAAAATATTATAATAATAAAATTGGCGTTGTAGGCGGTGGTCCACACACGGTACGTAGAAAGAAGAGAAGGATCACTCAGCGCATGAAACGGCACCAGAAATTACGTAGTCTTGATAGAAAGCCAGCCAACTCACTTTTAGAGCGTTTCTCTTATTTTCTTCATTCAGTTCACTCTCTTCTTCACCTTTTCCATTTGCTCCTCTCATCTCATTCTCCTTTCATTCATCATCCTCTGCCTACATCCATGGCCTCCAAAACTTCTCGCTCTACCTCCAAACATCAGGTTTGTTTCTCTTTTCCTCATTTTGCTCTTCTCTCGCTTTCTTCATGTCCTTTCATTTATATGTTTTGTGGTTTTTTTCTCTCATTTTGGTTCAGAATTAAACTCAGACTGTGTATATCATATATTTTTTATCAATCAGATATTAAAGCCCAAAACTCAACTACTCTGATCTATTCCTTTGTCTCTGTGTGTGCACCAATATCATAGGTTGTGAATTTCACTCCGTGTTTGGTTGCTGAAAATTCCTTTTGTAAATGACGCATAGTACCTGTGCTTCAAAGCATGAGAAAGGACTTTGCATTCGTTACTTTGTGTGTGTTTGCAGCCAAACATGATATCATGGAGACATATATTATTTTATGTAACAATTATATGGAGTTTTGTGTTTTTTTATTTCCTTGGAGAAATCTGTGTCAGATTTTCTTGCATGATAATATTGACAGAAACAACATGGAGAGGTGACCAAAGATGATGCCATGACGAAGAAGATAAATCAATTCACAGATCAAATACATGCAGAGCGAGGAGAATGCGTTAAAGTAAGACCTTGTTTATTTAATATTTTCAAAAATATTTTTATATTTTTTAAAATTTGTTTACCAGCATATTTTATAAAGTGCTTGTCTCTTAAGTAAACTTTTATTTTCTCATAAAATAGACAGAGATGAGAAAACGTATATAATTTTTTTTCTCTATTTTGTAAACACTTGTTTATAAACAAATTTCTAATTGATTTTACCTTTGAAATTAGTTATTGGGTAGTGTGAATTTTTTTTTTTTTTGGTAAAGTGGGTAGTGTGAATTTGTTTCATAATAAAAATTTTAAAATGAAAAAGAAAAAGAGAATAAACAATTCCTAAATTTTCAATTAGGTGGCTTGATTCTCGGAAATGCTTCTTTTTTCATTTTATATTATATGTTTTTTTTTTTTTGTGTATGGAAAACTGGATAGTGCCCCCATGTTGAGAAACAAATGCTGAAAATTGAAACATTTTGCAAATTGACTGTTATAATATCATAGATTCTTAATGGGCTCTTCAATTATTTCCCTGCATGCATCTCTTTTTTTTTTTTTTTTAAAGACTTTCGGTGGCTCAACTTTTATCATTGCTTATTTGAATGTCTTTTTCAATTTCAAAATGCAAGGTTACGAAAGGTTTGTTTTATTCACATTGTTGGCTAGCTAACAATTAATCTCAATTGTGTTTCCACAGGAAAAAATTCAGAGACATTGGAAGAATCTTGAGCCTTTGTTTTCAACGATTGAGTCAGTAATATCAGGGAGGGAGTCTTTACAGACAGAGAAAAATGTTAATATGCTTTCTTCAAAAATTGTCAACCCTTTGGGTAAGTTCAGTGGTTTCTCTAAAGGTATGGTAGAGAAGGATCGCATCAACAATGTGGACTTATCATGTGCAAAAGGCATTAAGATTTCACACATGGAAAAAATTCCACCATATATATCTTGGGTATATGTGGCCAGGTGCGCTTGACTTTCAATTTTCAAAGACTAATTTCTGTTTAGATGTATCAATGTTAACACAATTGTCACCAAAGCGAAAATTACATGTTTCTATTTTGTTTTGTATTTCTTTTCAAATAGAAACTTCCATGTCAAATAATATTGATAAATCCATACGCAACTTGTGCTTACATATTTGTGATTTTTCAAAAATTTTAATGATCAACAGAAATGAGAGAATGGCCAAAGATCAGTCAGTTATTGGAAAATTCCAAATGTACTATGATAAAAATAGAGGTGAAATGGTGATATGCAGTGATAGTGAAGAAGAGATAGAGGAAGTTAAACATGACTTCACAGAGGCTGAAGACCAAATTTTGCGGTAAATTAAAATGCAGACGTTGTACTTGCGTGTAGAAATTCTATCTGTTCATGAGGAAAAATTAAATTACAACAAGAGCTAGAGATCTTGATTGCAATTTTTGTTGTCGGTCATATAAATCCTTATTTTACATATTTGGTTGATGAGTAAGATAGAAGTCTTGATAGACCTCTAGTGGTTTTCCTTTCTTAGTAAATAAAACCTTTATCAGCATCACACAATATGTTTACATTTTATACCAATTTTAAACTCATTGGGCATCATTTTTCTACTTCATTCTAATGTTTGAAGCTTCTCTATTTTAAAATTTATATATTTGACTCTTGAATATATTAGGATGACACTTGAGGAATACGAGTCTACTGGAGAGGTACCGAATATCGTTAAAGAGTCTATTAAAACTACCGATTCACAAATTAAGGTAATCTAGAATAACTTATGGAGATGTTACATGCTTGATGATTGTTAATCCTAATTAACTATTGGAAAACTAAGTTTTACCATGGATAGTTTGAGTAGCCATTTTTATGTCTGGGATATTTTGTTTCATCAAAATATGCAGGAGAGGTATGGAATACTCAAGGAAAAGAATACGCGAAGTCTAGATCAGAAATCTGGAGCTTGTGATTGCAGAGGATGTGCATCTCATCTTGGAATATGTTTGGAGAAAAACTTGAGTGATACTTTAGAAACTTTCGATATCCTCTTCTGTCGTCAGTGCTATGTACATACTAAAACATCATCAACATTCTTTAACAGTTTAACATTCTTGCCATTGCCATGATTTCTAATATGATATTAAATATTTTGTCTATCTATGCTTTTATAATTTCCTCGAGCAGATATTTGATTGTCCCCTGCATGGCACTTCTCAACGTTTAATATATCCTGTAAGGAATATTTCTCTTTGTTATTTTTTACCTTAATCTGTGTTCCCAACTCTATCAATACAGTAAGTCAACTTGATGATTTACTTCACAGAGTGAAAAGCAACCAATTTGGTCTGAACCTGAAGATGATACGAAACCATGCAGTGATCAGTGTTACCTTCTGGTATTCTTCTTCTTCTTCTTTTTTCTTCTTTTAATTTGTGTTTGAAATTTTAAATAACCTCAACATTTCATGCTGGGGCCGTGGTGAAAAGGATAAAGGAGTTGTGGATGGACAAAAAGATCTGACAAATGAGAGAGAATTTAATCAGAAGTCCAATTCCATGGAAATGCAAGTTGATGAGATGACAAGTAACTCGGATTGGAAACCTCTCGAGAGAGATTTATATTTGAAAGGACTAGAACTGTTTGGAAAAAATAGGTATGGAGCTTCTCACACTTACAATTGAACCTTGTTAAGTAATTAGGTTGTTACATTTGTTTTTCCAAAAATTCTGTATTGTACTAGAATATATACTGACATGCAATTTAGTTTATTGTGTGTGCAAGAAGGCCATGGTCAGATTTGTCACCTTGGAACCCGGAGATCACAGGTTCAAGTCGTGAATCAGCCTCTTGTATGCAGCACTATAGACTCGCATCATGGATTTGACCAACCCTAGACTAGGGCAAGATCTTAGTAGTGACCAAGAGAGGCCATGGTCCTTCCAAAAATTTAGAAAAAGAACATATATATATACATATATAATAATAATAATTAGTTATTTTTATTTTACATGAACTAATAAGATCTAAAATTATTTATTCCCCTATTACTTATGATTTTAAGACGTTAGAAGAGCATAAAAAGTATATGGTGTTAGAAAGAAATCTTTTAGATTATCTGGGGACATTTATCCACAATGCCTCCAATTCCAAACCCTACCTATTTGTTTAGTTAATTTTTTCCAAGACTTAATTAAGAATAGTAATGGAAATGGACATATTCACTACATCGGAAGGAACTTGTAAAGTTAATTACTGCATAGTACATAATCTAGGCATATATTCAATTCAAAGCAATTTACGTTGTAATAATTTTCTTTATATCATGTTTGTGCTTATACATTTGTAAAGTACTAGCTCTTCTTTCTTTTGCAAGAATTAAGCTCAACTGATATAGTTTGCGTTGTAATAAGCACTCAATGTTTTCTGTCAAGGTTTGAATGCATTCTTAAGTTATTATTTCTCAACTACTATAGTAATAGAGCAACTTTTAAAATACTTATATTTGAAATTCATTTGTAGCTAACTTTTTTAATTGTGATATTTTTTGAGTTTTTGCTTATGTGGTGCTACTCATGCTATGCAGTTGCCTTATAGCACGTATCTTGCTTTCTGACTTAAAGACTTGTTTGGAAGTAGCCAAGTACATGTTTGCTGGTGGAGAGTCAATGCCCCATGGATCCATTCCAAGTTCAATGACCGACACAAATGAAAAGATTAATGCAGAGTGCACAGTAAGAATTTCGAGCATTAATTATTTCCTTACTTTTCTATATATATATATATATATTTGTCTTGAATGGTTTGATGAATGTCGTGCCTAGAAATTTTCGGCCTATGTCAATTTTATTAAAAAAAAAGTTTAATGTACTAATTATTAATTACAATATATTGGGTGAGTTTCATGTTTAAAAATTGTTTAAATAAAGTCTAAACAATTAAAAAAATGATTAAAATTCTATCTACAAAAAATATTCAATATGAGAAATGTTCCGACAAAACACATTACATAATACTTACTTAATTTACATGAAACTTGTCTAATTTACATACTATTAATTAACTTTATTTAGGAAATTACTACAGTATTCCTATAAATTGGAATGTTTTGGTACAGCCAATTTTTTAAATTAATAAAAATGATGTAAAATATAATTTTTTTTTCATTTTCATTTTTTTCTTCTACGGTAAGTGATGTATTCTTAATAAATAAATAATTTAAGTAATTAATTTACTATTTTTTTTTGTCAAATATTAATCCAAGTGTTTTAAATTATTTTGTAAAAATTAAAATAACTGAGAAGAATACAATAAGATTTATTTGTTAATAGTTAAGAGAGATTTTGTAAATTTCTTATTCAATTTATTCCTTAAATTTGTACACAAGTGTAAAAAATTCTAATTAATCATGACTCATAATATATAAAAAAATGTTCTTACTAAATTCAAATATTTCGTATATATATTAAAAATTTTAAGAAAATATATATTAAATTAACAAATATAAACACATGTTAAAAATCAAACAATTCTAAATCAAATGGTCAAATATTTTTAAAAAAACAAAAAAACAAAAAACAAAAACAATTTCAAAACCCTTTAAATATATAAGAATACTTTAGAATTTCTCTTACAAAATCTTAATAATGATATTCTCTTAATTTTGTTTATAATGTCTTATCTATTTAATCTTATGACATCATGTGATGATATTATAAGAATTTTTACCTAACTTTATATACATAATAATTAAATTTATAATGTATACATGGATCATATATGCATATGCGTAAGTTAGCACACATGCATGTGCACGGGTGTCTAGGAATTTAAAGTCTTGTACTTACCTTTTAATTGAGCTGCTCAGTTATCATTTTTCTCACTTCAATTAGTTATTAAAAATTAAATGTAACACAAGTTATATATATATTATTGTGTACGTTGAGGCCTAACGCAAGTGTCTCGGTGGACTTACTATTTAAACTGCCTTGTTGATACCGAATAATGATGGAAAGTTAAGTTTTACACCCATATTGTGTAATATTATAGGTTTAGTTAAGGAAAGAAGGCGTAAGAAAAAAAAATAGAAGTGAAAAATGGGATGATTTTCTTCGTTGTTTGGAAAGAAACAAAATAAAATAATATTATTAACCATGTATATAAAATAATAAAAATATCTTTAATAAAATAGAAGGTGTCTAAAAATAAAATTAATTTAGTCTTTTATTTAATATCACCCTTTCCACCTTCTTTCTTCTTCAAATTGAAAGAACTTAAATTAGTTCTAGGTCCCAAAAAAAAAAAATTCATCCTTTCACTTTTTAAAATGTACCAAATTGTGGTAGGAAAGAAAAAAAAAACTTTTCTATTACCTTAAGATGCAGTTTATTGAAGGAACATAATTAAAAAGGGATCATTAATATATTATGATTTTTTTTGCCCAAATAGCATAATTAATATTAACTTCAGTAGTTGATAAAATTTAAATTCTTATCAGTATTTTTTAGACATGCAAAAGGGATTGATTTGAACTTTTGAGCTGACGAGCAACAAACCTTTGTGCTATGAGATTCTTGGTAGCTAAGAATTCTTGTACAGTTCTTGTCTTTACAAATTTTTTAAATCAATTAAAGAAAGAATATAATTTTGGACGTTCAACTTTTGGCACTTGGATATACATAATTTTGCAATCACGAACATGTCATTTAGTAGATAGCGTGTATCTACTTTTGAATATCTGGGTTATTTTTCTAGGACCAAGAAATGTCATCAAAACAGCCCCAACGAAAAAAGGGGAAAGCAAGAAAGTTCAATTATCATCGAAAGTCTGCTGGCCTCCCACCTAGATTGAGAAGAATTGGTTACGAGGAAGATCTGTGTAATAAGCAGTATACTCCTTGTGAGTGTCATGGAATGTGCGGAAAGGAATGTCCTTGTCTTCTTAATGGAACTTGCTGTGAAAAATATTGTGGGTATGTTAATTTCTTTTAATAATGTATCTTTAAAACCTTTTTTGATCTTGAAATAAACACAATACTTGCAAGATATTTCATATTTCTCAAGTTCATTTGTTGGTCTATTTGAATTATTTTGTTAAAAATATTAGTGGAGCATCTAGCTTGAATATTAAAGTCTAACGAGGGTGATCTGATATCTTGTGAAATATATATTTTTCAATCATGTTTTTAAATCAAAACGAAATAAGTGTTCGTTTTTTGGAGTGCCATGAGAGACATTTATGAAGAAAAACAAAACTAATAAAAAAAACCATGCTTGACAAGGCTAGAAAATACAATCTGAACATAAACTTTAAACTATTTTTTAATGATTTGAAACAAATTAATTGTTAACCAATTAAATTATTTTTAAAATGTGATAAATTAGTTTTTCATATTTTTACATTTAGGTGTTTAAAGCTTTGCAATAATCGGTTCAGAGGATGTTATTGTGCTAAGAGTCAATGCAAAAGTCGATTATGTCCATGCTTTGCAGCCAACCGCGAATGTGACCCAGATGTCTGTCGAAATTGTTGGGTTAGGTAATGTTATTATTTATTTCTTTATTTTGTGCTTTTGAACTTGATTTTGTGTGGCTTTTTTTATTTATTATTAATATATCTCCTATATTCACTTCACCTTATTCAGAGAGTCATATCTATGATAGTGTTTTTGGTCTTAATAATTCAATAGCATAGCATCTACTAATGCAAGAACATAATCTTAGTATCTTAGCTGTTTTGAGGAACCAAAACATTCAAATCCGTAATAATTTTGTGTTTCCCCAGTTTTGATAAGTATCTTGGCTTCATAAGATATTCATTTGTTTAAATCATATCAACTAAAAAATATTTTAGTTGCATTAACTATTTCAATTTTAAGTGAGTGAAATTCAGTAACATTTTTCAAAATTTTAAATGACATTCTTTATATAGTTGTGGCGATGGTTCACTGGGGGAGCCACCTCGATGTGGAGATGGTCAATGTGAAAATATGAATCTTCTTTTAGGCAAAAAACAAAGGGTTAGTAATTCTTTTGCTCTTTAAATTATTTGTATATATCATGAATGAATGAAATCTTGAATACATGAGTATCTTACATTTTTATCCTTATATCTCAGATTCTTTTGGCAAAGTCAAATGTTGCAGGATGGGGAGCCTTCACAAAGGTTAAGATGTTTGTACTTGTTTATTTTCAAATAATGTGATAGATGTGTTCACCTTACTAATTGATGATGCATTTCAGAACTCGATAAACAAAAATGATTGCTTAGGGGAGTACACCGGTGAACTAATTACTCAAGCAGAAGCAAACAAGCGTGGAAAATTGTATAATCGAATAGAAACTTCATTCCTTTTTAACCTTAATGATCAAGTAAGTGTCTCGTTTCAACTACATTTTTATTTAACATGGTCTTGTTCTAGTGTTTCTCCAATAGACTTGAGCATTCTAGTAATTTACATGAGGATGTTCAAATCATATAAGATCCAACAGTAATTGCATTGAGTAATCAACTATATATTCATTAAAATATTAATATATTTAAAGTTTTGAAGAAAAAAATATCAAAATAATGAAATATGAATTATATGATCAATGTTAACATAACTCATCAATACATGTCACAAAGGACACTAATATAAATTATATAATCAATACATATTTCAACTAAATACGTAGTTACAATTTCATTATTAATACTAATTTTAGGTTGAGTTAATCGAGTTAGAAACTCGTTAACTTGTTACCAAACCCAATTATAATTGGGTCAATTAGAATATTTCCAACCAAATTCATTAAAATATAATTGGGTTGGATTAGGTTGATCGAGTTTGTGGGTTGATCTTAACTCGCTTACACACTTATTTGTCATAAATAATAAGCTTTGTGACATAGGAGAGTTTCAAGACTATTTGGTTAAGGAAATTGAAATCAAGAACTTAGAAACCTAAAATACTTTCTTGGCATTAAAGTATCTCAATCTAAGCATAGACTTTTCCTCTATTAATGGAAGTATACATTAGATCTTTTAGCTAAAACAGACAATGGACTTGTCAACCCATGGATAATAATTGTCTGATATTGAATTTTACATTCCTAGAGCAAACGTGTACTCTATCTAAAAACCTTGAGATATATGGAATATACACCAATTCAACTACTTTCCAAATCTATTGCCTCCTAGTTTCCAAAACTATTCTTTATTTTATTATCTTTTGATTAACTTTCATCAATTTACCTTCCCTCCACATCTTTTTCTTAGAAAGTACAATATATCGTGATTCGAACTTGATGATTTTAAGTTCATTTCTCGCACATCTTTCACCAACCTATTATCCATTTTTTCACAGTGGGTTATTGATGCTTATCGCTTAGGAGATAAGTTAAAATTTGCAAACCACTCATCAAAACCCAACTGCTATGCAAAGGTCAGTTCAAATACTCTAGTTTTAGAAAAACATGACATTTACCATTTGATGTCAACAAGATAAACTTCATTATAGACTTCTTATAATGTTTGAACTATTGTATCGGTTGCATAGGTGATGATGGTAGGAGGGGATCATCGAGTTGGCATATTTGCTAAAGAGAACATTGAAGCCGGTGGTGAACTTTTTTATGATTATTACTATGCTTTAGATTGTGCACCAGCCTGGGCTCTTCCGTCGAAAGTTGAAGCTTCCAAAAAAGATGAATTAACAACTTCTCGAGGCAAGACAAAGAAATATCATACTCGATGAATAACCATCATAACCAAGGACCAATATATAGAGTTTATTGTGTCCTTTCTCCAAAAACAAATTTTGACATCCTATGGGATATACTCGAGAACAATTGTTATGAGGATATTGATATGAAATACTAATATGCATAAAATTATCCTAGAAGGTTTGAATCAAAGTATGAGTTTACTATTATTTTAGGCATATTATTTTTCCATTTTCTTGATGCTAGTTTTGGTGGTTTTCACAAATACTATTAATCAAATTGTAAGAAGAAATGCATAATTTCAACTTTCTAATACCTTTTTTTGACAATGATTTTTCATAATCCAGCTTTGATTTTGTTCGTAAGTTAAAACTCAAATCAAATTCTTGTGAGTTACTCTAGTTGATAGGCTTATATAATGTCAAGAACAATCAACATTTTGTAAGATGGCAAATAATGAGAGATTGTCTTTTAACAAATACAATGATGTAGTAAATACGTGGAGAAGAAAAGTAAAAAAGCAATAACGTAAAGTAATCAATATGGAGGGCGGGTTGTTAGCTTCTTGGGGTTTTAGTAATATTTATGTTGAACTCCTATCACTCAAGTATGGTCTGAATTTCTCATGAGATTGAGGTTTCAAAAAAAAATGTGCTATTCAGATTTTGTAATGGCTCTTATGCTACTAAAGCATCCACCCCCGTCCTTATCACAATATGCTACACTAATCTACGATCTGAGAAACTTGGTTGAAAGAGATTGGAATTTGATTTTGCTTCACACTTTGTGAGAAGAGAACAACAATCTAGATGTTCTGGCGAAAATGGGATCTTTTGCAAATAACGACATGACTATCCATGAGTTTCCTCCTTTCGATGTTAGTCACCAGCTAGCTGTTGGTGTTGTAATTCTTTTTATTCTTTCTCATGTAATTTCTTTTTAGTTGCTAAAAAATATAGTAAAGTAATCATTAAGAACTAAATGAAGATAAATTAATAAACTTTACTTTCTCATTGAAAGTTTATATATTTTGTCATTCGGATGCTTGCTTGTCTGTCTTAATAAAGAACAAATATCCAAGCTTTTTGAACAATGTGAATTAACTCCCTTGAATATCTAAGTTACAAGATACAAATAATTATTATAGCAAATGAAGAGTAGCCTACCTTAAAAAATCCTCTATTCGAAGTGATTTTGACGGATAAAAGAATTTGGAGATACAACCTTAAAGGTCTCTATTATGTTAAATTGGGTTATAAAGTGGCCATGAATCAATTTGGTTATGTAAATCAACTTCAAGAGGATGGGTATTAGCATATGGTTTGGAATTTAAAGCTTCCACAAAAAGTCAAGTTGTTTATGTGGCATGCTTGTAGGGTTTGCGTTCTTACTCATATGTTTGCAATCTAGAGGTATAACATGTCCATCCTTTTGTGTTTTATGTGGGGAAGATTTGGAAAATTCTTTTCATACCTTATTTACTTGCTAAGTTAGTATTTTAGTTTGGAATCGTATTGGTTTATGGCAACAGATTCAGCCTTTGTTGAGCGGCATTGGTTCTTTTAAAGATTTGATTAAGATGTGTAGTCTATTGGATGACAAATTCCAGCATTTTTATCATGATTCTTTGTAGTTTGTGGAATAGAAAGAATTCAAAGCTTTGGAATCTAATGGAGGATTAGGACGTAAGAGTGATTAATAGAGCTTATTTTGTTCTTAAAGAAAGAAACACAATCCAATCTATTCGTTCAAGTTTCTTCCGAGGGAACTAACAATTCTTGTGTTTGGACAAAACCTCCAGTTAGTTTTCTCAAGTGTAATACTGATGCAACTTTCTTTAAGGAGGAATGCAAAATAGGATTTGGTTGTTTCATAAGGAATGATGCAAGTTCATTTATATTAGCAAAAAATGGTTGAATTCCGTCTCTTTCAAATGCCCAAGAAAGGGAATTTGTCGACCTTTTCTAAGCTATGACTTGGTTAATTAACTTGGGAATCCAATTTTTTATTTTTTAGACTGATTGTAAGTTACAAGCAAATAATATCAGTCATGGTACTATTGTGAATCATTCAAAAATGTGGTATTCTTATTGATCACATTAAGGAGATACTTATTGTTAATCGAATTTCAAGGTGCAATTCACTAGAAGAGAAGCAAATGGGGTAACTCACTCATTTGCTACACCAAATGTGAATTCTAGTCATTATATTTTTCACTATTTTCCACAATGTATTCACAATTCTATAGCAATGGAAATGATTAATTATTTACAAAAAGAAAAAAAATATTAAACTACCAATAATTTTTGTTAAATCCTTATTTTATTGGAAGCTCTATTAATGTCAATGTCAATAAGACTCAAACTATAAATGAGGTTCTCAAAGAATATTTGGTTCTCACATTTGTAACCATGAGTATTACTTGAGCATAAATTATTGTTATTTCTTTTTTACTTTGCTTCTCCACACATTTACTACATCATTATATTTGTTAAAGGTAGTCTCTCTTCATTTGTCATCTAACAAAATATTGAGTATTCTTGACATTATAAATCTATCAACTAAAGTATCTCACACAAGGATTTGATTTGAGTCCTAAATTACGGATTAAATCAAAATTCGGTTACAAAAATATCATAGTCAATAAAAGGTATTAGTAAATTGAAATCATGCATTCCTTCTTACAATTTGATTAATGGTATTTGTAAAAACTATCAAAATTAGCATCAAGAAAATGGAAAAATAATATGCTTAAAATAATATTAAACTCATACTTTGATTCAAACCTTCTAGGATAATTTTATACATATTAGTATTCCATATCAATATCCTCATAACAATTGCTCTTGAGTATATCCCATAAGATGTCAAAAATCTGTTTTTGGAGAAAGGACACAATAAACTCTATACATTAGTCCTTGGTTATGATGGTTATTCATCGAGTATGATATTTCTTTGTCTTGCCTCGAGAAGTTGTTAATTCATCTTTTTTGGAAGCTTCAACTTTAGGCAAAAAAGTCCATGCTAGTGCACAATTTAAAGCATAGTAATAATCATAAAAAAGTTCACCACCGGCTTCAATGTTCTCTTTAGCAAATATGTCAACTCGATGATCCCTTCCTGCCAACATCACCTATGCAACTGATAAAATAGTTCAATCATTATAAGAAATCTATAATGAAGTTTAAATTGTTGAGATCAAAGGGTAAATGTCATGTTTGTCTAAAAATGGAGTATTTGAACTGACCTTTGTGTGGTAGTTAGGTTTTGATGAGTGGTTTGCAAATTTTAACTTATCTCCTAAGTGATAAGCATCAATAACCCACTATAAAAAAATGGATACTAGATTGGTGAAAGATGTGCGAGAAATGACCTTAAAGTCATCAAATTCAAATCATAATATATTGTGCTTTCCAAGAAAAAAGATGTAAAGGGGAAGGTAAATTGATGAAAGATAAGATAACACAGTAGTTTTAGAAACTAGATGGCAATAGATTTGGAAAATAGCTGAATTGGTGTATATTCCATATGTCTCATAAGGTTTTTAGATAGAGCACACATTTACTCTAGGAATGTAAATCAATACTTACACAATTATCTACTAGTTGACGAGTCCATTGTCTATTTTAGCTAAAAGATCTAATGTATACTTTCATTAAGAGAGAAAAAATTTATATTTAGATTGAGATACATGAATATCAAGAAATTACTTTAGGGCTTCAAAGTTCTTCTTTTCAAATATCCCATTAAATAGTCTTGAAACTCTCTTATTTCACAAAGCTTACTATTTGTGACAATTAAAAGTGTAAGGGAGTCTAAATTAACCCACAAACTCGATCAACCTAACTCAACTCAATTATATTTTAGTGGATTGGGTTGGAGATATTCTAGTTGACCCAATTATAATTGAATTAGGTAATGAGTTAAAGAGTTTCTAACTCGAATAACACAACCTAAAATAAATATTAATAATAAAATACTAATTATGTATTTGGTTGGGACATGTATGGATCATATAATTTACATTAGTGTTGTTTGGGATATGTATTGATCATATGATTTATATTAGTATTGGTCATACAATACATTTTCATTATTTTGATTTTTTTCTTTCTTTTTCAAAATAATATATTAATATTTTAATAAGTCAAACCGATTACTCAATCCAATTATTGTTGGATCTTATATCATTTAAACACTCTCATGTAAATTACAAGAATGCTCAAGTCTATGGGAGAAAGATTAGAACAATATTATGTTAACAAAAAATATAGTTGAAAAGAGACACTTGCTTGATCATTGAGGTTAAAAGGGAAATAAGTTTCTATACAATTATATAATTTTCCACGCTTGTTTGTTTCTACTTGAGTGATCAGTTCACTAGTACTCTCCTAGACAAACATTTTTGTTAATTGGATTCTAAAATGCATCATTAATTAGTAGGGAAAACATATATATCACATTATTTGAAAATAAACAAGTATAAATATGTCAATCCTTGTGAAGACTTCCCATCTTGCAAAATTTGACTTTGCCTAAAAAATTTGAGATATAAGGATAACAATGTAAGATACTCATGTATTTAAGATTCATTTGTGAAATACAAATAATTTAAAGAGTAAAAAAATTATCAATCCACTATTTTAACCTTTAAAAAATCATATTTTCGCATTGATAATCTCCATATCGAGGTGATTTTCCTAGTGAAATATATTCACAATTATATTAAAAAAAATGCTATATTTAAAATAGTGAAGGATGTGATTCAATATATTCACTTAAAAATTGGAATGATTAATGTAACTATAATATTTTTAAATGATGTCATTTAAACAAATGAATAAACTGTGAAGTCATGATACTTAACAAAATTGACAGAAGAGAGAATTATTAGATATATGTATTTTTGGTTCCTCAAAAGAGATGAGATATACAAATATAAAATTATGTTATTGCATTAGCAGATGCTATACTCAAAACAGGAAAAGAACGTTATCGAAGAAAAGAGTGGGAAGGACTCAAGGGAGTCTAATGGGTTACGTGTACGAGTGTGCGTGAATTTTATGATTATTTACTGATAATGATGAATTTTAGTATACCTCACGTGAGTGATACGAAAACTGAACCAATTATTGACTTAATCAGGATATCAAATGGATGAAATATTGGTCAAATTACTGAGTCAATAGTTAAATCAACTATTAATTAATTAATATATTTAGTAAACAAGCAAAATTATTAAAGAAGAGAGACGAAACGAGAGGGAAAGGAAAGGAAAACAAGTGGGAGTTCCAACTTCCCCCATTTAGTTACTCTGTAATATCTTTTAGCCCCGTTGCAAATTCCTAAAATAAAACAGGTAGTTTAAAAATAAATAAATAAAAAGTTGGTTTAGTTTCGATTAATGCAGAACTAGGTCGGGTTAAACTCTATATACTATCTTCAAAATATTTTCCAAAACATGGATTCAGCTAGTTCGGCTACACACCTTTTTATTGTACTCCAAAAATTGAAGTTTCCTTCGTTAACGTTTAGAATGAGGGGAATTGCAATAGTACTATGTTAAAGAGAACATAAAATTTAGTCTCGTAACGAGAATATATTTCACAGGTTATATGTACAGATTAATGACCAACATGGTATAATATGGTCGAAAAGCAAGCGATTAAAGTATTTGATTCTTAAATCCATGTGTATAGAAGAACATCTATTAGAAAACATCATCTTAAATGGATCTAAGTATTTTTTAAAAATTAGTATATGATTATCAACCACGGAATACGCCAGATTCACCCAAGAAAATATAAAGGGTACACCAGTTTGAACATGTCACCCTCATCTACTTTGTAGATAAAAATATAATAGTTCATTCCATGTATCAGGAACCCCTGGAAGGCACCAATGGCTACAATCTTGAATCTTAGAGGACCGTGTTTTTCTCCCATAAATTGATGGGTGGCCATCAATCCTATATTCTGACAAACTAGTTATATTCAACAATGTCACAGGAGTTTTCATTTGCTTTATTATCTCCTCTACGATTATATTCTTCTCAGGATAAGTAGTGCTTAAGGTTTCATTAAGAGGAAGAGTGGCTTCTGTGCAATGCCCTCCGGAATTCCAATCACCACCCCTGTTGCAAAGGATCAAGTTCATTCATCAGCTACTCTGAGAAATAGCATCTTAGATTTTGGAAAATGTAAGAGCTATTGCAGAGTCAATGGATATCAAAAGCAAACCTGAAATGTGATGGTGCTGAACTTCGAAAGAAAACTCGGGTTTTTCTGTGATCAATGTGTTTGTCCACCCATGAAGCCCAAGTCAATAAAGCTTTCCTGAAAGCTGTAGAAACATTTAGCTGGGGATGAACTAGACTTCCTTCTTGGTAGTAATAAATCCTGTTATACGATCAAAGGTTTGTCAAATGTAATATACTGAAAGGAAATTAGAAATATAAGTGATAAAAAAATTTGACGACTAAGCTTTGGTTGCTCATTTTCCAAAAATAGAATGTTAACAGAGATGCCAATTTTTCCAGCTCAATTAATAGAAAGTTCCCTGCAATCATTTTTTTTACACATTCAGGCAGTCAGCAAATCAGATCCATCAGATAAAGATGAGGATTCAGATTTCATCTCAGCAAATCAGGCTTAAAGCATGCATTGGAATATGGGATTTGGCTCCTCTAAATCATATAATTAATTTTAAATTTAATTTTGCAAGAATTTAATTTTATCACAATTCTTCATAGTTAATTTTCTAATCAATAATTGTGAGTACATTTTATCTTTTAAAGCATAACTCTCAGTTCAGAAGAGTCAAATCCTAAAATATGAATTATTTGATTTTCATTATTTAGATTTGATGACTGCATTAATTTGGGTATCAAATTCATTAACTGAACAGAACACCACCATTCTTTACCAATGAGACATTTTGGGCTAAATTAAAGTCGAAGACTTTCTATTTTAGTAATTAGGAATTGCGTTGGGTTCAATCCTTTCTTTAACATAATTACACACACTGAAATGCCCAACGTTGGAGATGAAAAGATTATGAATGTATAAAAATGCAAGCATTGAAGGATGCCCACATCAGCTAAAAGGTTTCAAGGCCTGAAAAATGAAAAAGATAAAGCAAAGTGCTAACCCAGCTTTTGTTTTGTAATGTGACCACCAATGTGCAGTGTTGAAAACCAAAATATCAGCTGCCCTCCATCTAGAAGAACCGTGATCAATAGCATCAATTCGCAAGGTTGGTCTTCGTTTTTGCCCTATTCTTGCCTTACTTTCATGAACCAAGAAATGACTGGCATAGTATTCAACGGTACATTTATAATCCTGCGAAGTTGAAAGTGCAAAACATGAAACGTCTAATACTCCAGGGCCATCCATACACACATTATATAATCCAAGTGAGGTTCCACAGAATTACCAGAAACCTGAAACTATAATTTCCCTTCTCTTTGGTAATCTTCCTTCCATGGGTCTCATACACTCTCTTTGGATCTTCAATAGCCCCCAATAACATGCACAACATTGATTCCCATTGGTTCCTATTAATGGAATCACCCACAAAAACAAGCCTTTTCCCTCTAATCAACTCCAGCATTTTTGTTGCATTGAACCTTTGCCAAAAAACACAGTACCAAAAATAATTTAAGTTTCTTCCTAAATACTGCAACAGTCTAAAAATGAAGCAGGGAAAAAAAAGGTTCCAAAAGATTGAAACTTAGAGTACCTTGGAAGGTCACAGCCTTTGGGCTGCCATCTCAACTTAGAGTAGTTTCTATCCAATCTTCCATTTCCCTCACAATCAAAACCTTCATCCACAAAAGGGCACGAACCTTTGGAATAAAGGGGATAGCTTTCATCAAAAACCCAATACCCTTTTGTTAAATCACATCCTTTAACTCTCTTCTGTTCAATCTTCGTCAAAATAGCAACTTGAGTTTCCCCAACTAAACCACCCGCAACTACTTTCTTCTCTTCGTTGCCGGGTCCTCTCTCAGGTGAATTTCCACGCTCTTGCATTGCCGTGAAGTTAACATTTGAAGCACCAACATCAACATGGTGTCGTACAGGTTCAGATTTGGATCTAGAGAAGCTTCTCTGGGTCCTAGCAAGACGGTTATCGATCAAAGTTGGAACTTTGACACCACTTACAGTGAAGTTTTTGGTGAAACCAGTCAAGGATTGAACAGTTAAAGGAGGAGGTCCCACAGAAGAAGAAGAATTAGAAGAAGTGTTGAAGTGAAGATGAACCTGTTGACGAATTAAAGGTGAGGAATTGGTGAGCCAGATGGTGAAAGTAGAAAGGATGAGGAAGGAGGAAAAGATTGTGAATGAGAAAACCAAAAACCTAGTGGGTTTGAAGGAGAAACTTCTCTGTCTCTCCATTGATGCTTCAAAACAAGTCAAATGGTGGTGTCATGGTTCATGCAGGATTCGATAATGGAAACTTGCAAGAGAAAAAATAAATTAATGTTTCTAATATTAGAGAATTAAGTTAAAACAAAGAAAGGCAATGTGACGCAGAATAGGGTGGATGTGGATCCAGAATAATAAATAAATCTCATATTTTCTGGTATGTACTGTCCATCGGTTCACGGTGCTGAACTGGTTTCCTCTGTTTATAACTAAATTAAATATTTGTAGGGACTGGAGAGATATGTTCTTCTTATCTAGTGTGATTTTTCTATAGGTTACCAACATTACATTAGTACCAAAATAGTTAAATTTGAAATGTTTAAACAAAATTTTAAATTCAAATTTTATATATAGAAAAAATGTAATTAAAAATTGTACTGTAGTGATCAAATTGATTTTTTATAATAATTAATCATCAATAAACTTAATAATAATAAATATTAAAAAGTTAAGAGTTAATCAAGGTTTGATAAATGTATTATTTAATGTTAAAATGAGGAATATTAATCATTCAAAATCACATTTACTATGATTCTTATGGTATGTTTTGGTAGAGAATTTTGGAAATTATGAAAATTTTACAGAAGATTTTTAAGTAAAATACAATTTTTTTACATAATAACTAAAATGAGAGAATTTTAAATAAATCATAAAATGAAATTTAGGTAATAGAAAATAAATTGCTTAATTTTAAAATTCAAAATATAGTAATTTAAATTACATTATCCAGGGCCGTTTTTGAAAAACAAAAGAAATAGTACATTCACCTGATTATTATAAAAATATTATTTATTCTGCTAGTTTCTAATTGAATTACAGTATCAGGGAATGTGTTATTTATTCTTTAGCTAAACCCACATCCACCACTTTTTAATTATTTATCTTTATTCTTTAACTAAACCCACATGATGACATCCACCATTTTTTTAATTATTTTAAGATGGGAATAAAGTACAAGCAATGAACCTCTTTAGTCACCACAGAGAGCAGACTCATAATTCACATGCACCCAATATCATTATTCTTCGGCGATGCAGTGGGAACAAAACACGTTCAGGTCTTATTGTCGAAATAATTAATTTTCTAAGTTATAGGTTTTATATTTTCATTGCTTCAATTATAATATTTAATCACATTGAACAGCTGTTGTCTTGTTTGCATGGTGTACACAACAACCTAATGGGGTTCTAAGTCAGCTGCACAACATTATCTGAAATATTTAGAAAAGGTTATAAATTCATATAATTAATAAGCAATTCAATGTACTTTTTCGTTTATTAGTTATATTCTGACATTATTTTCAGTAGAATCGGCTATGAATTCTCTTCAAGTTGGTAGCTGCATGCTTTTGTGCAAGATGGAGTGTTTGTGGCTGGCTAATTGAATAATCGGATAGGGTTTACCTTTCATTCACTTTATATTAATACTTATAATTATTAATTAATTAATTAGAAACTGTTTTAAATTTAAAAAAAAAAAAAGTAATCAAAGTTAATAAACATTGCAGGATTAAATTTTAATTTTATAAAAAAAATCTTATCCGATATAATATAAGTTAAATACTATAGTTTAAATGAAATTCAAATAGATGAGCTGAACAAAAAAGAAAAAAAAACATGTCAGCTAAAAGCCTAAAATTGCTGAAACTGATCATTTGTTGCACTTGCATGCACACTTGGGCCATATTTTGAGCCCAAATACATTTGGATTGGGCCAGATAGGTCCAGCAGAAGTGCCACAGCAGTCCAAACTCCAAAGTGTATATACACTTAGTTCTTTTTATTTCGAATGTCATCGAGAGAAGAAGAGATCCTCAAGCTCAACCTCTGGTGAGTTCTCTAATTTCGCCATGATATTAGATCTTAGATTCTTGTTGTAGTGGTAGATTTTCGATCAAATTCTAATGTGGAAGAATTTCTTCACTCACTCTTTGGATTGTTCATTTCTTTGGTTTACGATATATTTTGTTTGGAAAACCAATGGTAAATTGGCAGCTGTATTGGAATTTTAGGGTCCTTTCCCCTGATACCAATAAATCAGATAGAATGAGGTAGAATTCATAACGTTAAGGTGAAGTTTCCTTTTAAGAAAAAAATGTTGCTGTAAAAGTCTTAAAATTGATATTTTTTTTAGAAAGTTTTACTTAGATAACGAGCGGCTGGTTTTGATGCCAGAGATGGTATTTGTTTTAATGCAACTTATAATTTATCCCACCATAGGATTTATAATTTTCTTTCCCATCCAACATGTTATTGATTAGTGGCCTCAATCTGATCTGAATTCCTTTGATATAAGATTCATATAGTTTGTAGTTCCTAAGTAAAGGAAAAAAGAAAAGGGAAAGTATCCGGTGGGAATGTTTTATAAATCATGCGTGAGAATGGGAAGAATAAATATTAACTGTTGAGTTTTATCATAAATGATCAACAGATCTTTTTAAATTATTATGTGACTTTAAATCTTGACCATCCATATATGGTTATATGCCATAAATTATGGCCTAAATTTACTTTTTTCATTCTCTAAGAAAGTCATTTTCACAAGATATCTCTCCAAAAAAGAAAAGGATGGGGAGAGGAAGGTTAGAGGGTTGGTCCAGATCCCCTCTAGTGGCTTTTTCACGCATTCACACGGTTAGCAACTTGGAACCACTAGATGTAGATTGGACGAGTCATATATTATCTCAGTAAAACTGGTTTAAAGTCACTCATAAAATATATTAATAAAATGTAATGATTTGTCTAGACTAAGCTAATGTTTTCTATTTATAAAATGTAATAAAACATTATGTTGGTTTGAGATTTTTGATGCATCAAAATTATAATGGCTGCACCGGAGTTTGAATTTAGGACCTTCTGCATGCTATCCCAACTCTCCATCACTAGACCGAGTTTATGAAGTGCGCATAATTTTTATCTATTGAAATTATATTGGTTTGAGTGATACTGAATTCAAATTTTTTAAGTCTTGAGTTTAACTCTTATAAATTAGAAAAGAAACATTGGTTGAAGTCAATAAGATTAGCAAAATCGATAGATACTTCATATTCATAACATGGTAACTTAAAAAAAATGCTTTCTATTTTTATTTCTGTTTTCACAATAAATAAAATAAACACCTTACTTTTGTTTCTTGCATGAAAAGATCTACGTAGGAAACCGGAAAAGCAGAAACATTGTTGTAATTATTAGCTAAAACAAGAAATAGAAAGAGATTTTTCTCAAATTAAATAGGACCTAATTTCTCCTATTTGATTAGGATCTTTAAGCCAAATCTGCTATTTTTACCGAGAAATTTTACCACTAATGTCCTGATCTTATTTTTTCTTCACTCTCTATGTTGGGGGTGATCAAGGGGAATGATAAACTTCTTCCTTACATGATTAGAGAAAAACTGCCAAACGATAATTTAAGTATCTCTCCTTTTTCCTCTGATTCTTCCCCTTTACTCACCGTGCGTTCACTTACTGTCAGCCTGATTGTTAGGAAAGTTTAAACAGCATCTGCATCCAGTTTTATTGTTAAACTATTTAAAGCCAGGATTTGGTAACTTGTAGAATTGACAAGCTTAAAGACAGGGAAGCAAATGGCTGGTCCTAGGATTGCTCATGCTACTTTGAAAGGACCAAGTGTTGTGAAGGAGATATGTGTTGGAATAATACTTGGTTTAGCTGCAGGCAGTGTCTGGAAGATGCATCACTGGAATGAACAGAGAAAGGCCAGGACATTTTATGATTTGCTGGAAAAGGGTGAGATTAGTGTTATTGCGGAGGAAGAATAAAAATGGCCATGTTTTGTGCCGAACTAAGCTCCCCGATTTTTATACATTTTTTCTCTCTAAATTCAATTGGCTCTTAATATGTAGTTGAGCTGACTTACTCTATAAGATTCTAGGCAATAAAGATTTTGCTCCGAGTCATGGACTATATTATTGTTGGCTGCTAGAAATTTTATAAAGCTTGTTTTGTTGCTTTTTTTATGGCAGAATTATTTTCATGTAGCTGCACTAGAGATGTTTTTAATATTTTTAACTAGTTTTTACGGTTAATTCGTGTTTCTGAAGGACTGCACAAGCAACATACTAAGTCATTTGTTTCTGTTAATCTTTACAAGTACAAAGTTCAGAGTTAGTGGGAAAATATTGTGGACAGCACTGTAGGATTATGAAATATGAAGATGTCTGTAAGACACAGTCTCAGTTAAATTTACCCTTTCAAATTAGTTGTCATGTTTCGAATGAATCGAATCATACTGTTATTGCCTACTAGAGATGATTCCTCTCATTAGAAACAAAGTGAATTACAGGCTTCGTCATTGTGAATTCTAGCCATCCCCAGTGTGGAAATTCAACAGCGATTAATTCTTGTTCTTAAAGAAAACCAGTGTCGTAAAGAGTGTCAAAAGTAGTATTATATGTAACTCGACGAGATGACATGTTTGGAAATTCGTTTTTTTAACGAAAATGTAAAAACACGCGTATCAAAACACTAAAATACAAAGTAATTTTTCTTATCTTTTTCGTTAAACGTAAGTTTATAAGATTTTAACAATAAACCAAACACACATATAATAATAAGCTTTCTGTGTTTACATGTTATAAGAATAATATATTTAGTAAAAACTTTGATTTGGATGAAAACTCATTAGACGAACACCAATTATAATACACAAGTAAAATTAGTATATGATGCAATAGTAAAAGATACTTTGTGGCAAGACAAAAAAAAATAGCAATATTATACTTAACAAAGATATGTTTTTTATCTCTATATTTTGAAAATAAAAGCCACATTAAACATTTTTATAAATGTGATGCCAAAAAATAAATAAATAAATAAACATTGCCCTACTTATAGGAATTAAAAACGTTTAATCCAATATTCAAGACAAATTATTCCACGACCAAAAGGAATCCAAATCAATACTCTTTATCGAATTTTGTAGGTCATAAAGTTATATTCTCAAGCCTAACTTCTCAAATATCACGGAAAATATGGAATGTATGGAACTTGTTACGCAAAAATATGTAGGGTTCTATGTAAACAAACATCATACCCAGTGGCGGACTTTTTAAGGGACAGGGTAGCTCCCCCAAACTTTTTTTTAAATATTTTTTTATATATATATTCATATATATATATATATATATATGGAGCATATCAAGTGAGAGAAAATTTATTATGAGAAATGAGAGGGTTAAAATATAACCCTTAGATTAAGTGAGAGAAAATTTGGAGTTTAATCAAGTGAGAGGAAATTAATCTAAGGGTTATATTTTAACCCTCTCATCTCTCATAATAAATTTCCTCTCACTTGATATGCTCCCTATATATATATATGAGGAGGGTTCAAATGACATCGGTGTAACTTTTACTAAGTGTTACACCGCTCAATAACTTTAAATTAAATGTAAATTTTGTAAATTCAACCGTTAGATTGAAAGTTCATATCAATTTATATGTGTATGTCAAATTTTATTAAAATTGAACAACTTGATGGTAATCAAAGTGTTCATATTTTAATATATTTTGAAATAAATATATTACGTCGATTTTGTTTTATAAAAATGAAGTATCAAATCATGTTGGATTACTATAAAATTTTGTATATATGATCTAAGAGTAAAGAACTTCCAATCTAACGGTTGGATTTATAAAATTCACATTTAATATAAAATTATTGAGAGGTGTAACATTTACTAAAAGTTACACCGGTATCGTTTAAACCCTTCTCTCTCTCTCTATATATATATATATATATATATTTTATGATTATTATAACTAATGAATGATAATATATTTTTTTTGAATTTTATTATTATGCATATTTATTTTGAGTAGAGAAAATAAAAAATTGTTTTTTTTAATTAATAAAAAATTTAATTTATATATAAAACAATTAATTTGGCACTCCTAAATTTTTTATTGATGTTCGGCCACTGATCATACCAATCTCCTAGATTTGGCGTTAGAGTACAATTGTATATGCAGTAAAAAGAATCACAACCCCACCGACTGGAAAGGCAAAATCAGAAGCAAGCCCAAACGGCATCGGAAGAATAAGTAGTAGTTTGGTTATTCCCCAAGTATATTAGATTGCTTTGTCAAATTATTCGGCTAAGCCGCTAACGAGCCTTCCGAGCGACAGATGGTGAGCCATCCTGTCAAATTATGAAGATAGTTTAGCCAACTTGCTACTGCACCATCAATTCTATTATTGCTATAGTAGTTTTTCAAGTACATCACGTTATGGAGGGCATTTGAGATTCCCGTACTGACAATGTAAGTGCTCTCTGTTACTATGAACGCATTCCATTTTTCAGTGAAAGGCATCTTGCTGCTCTGTCTTCCATATGCATCATTTGGATGCTTCCATTTTAGTCCTTGACAGTCAAAGATCGGATCATTCTTCTACAAAATTAAAAGCTCAAGGTAAAAAGTATGCATATATGGATAAAATAAGCAGTAAGAATCATTTTTATACTATTGTTGTCTAAATTCGTTGGTTGCTTGTGAAGTGCTAAATTACATTTAGATAAACTAGCAACAAGAAGGTACGCTCCCCGTACTCCTCTTCACAAGGTAGCACAATATGTCCCAAGCTATATAGGGACTTACTGTTTGCAAATTTACCATCATCAATAAATAATTAACTTTCAGTAGAAGGTGCTTTTTCAAATTAAAATTAAAGCTGAAGATGTGGTTACCACAAGGACGATCTCGGTCGAGAATGAAATTCTTCGGACTCAAGATCAGACGCCTCTTTGTTGCCACCTCCGCTGGTTGCAACCACTTTGCTTTCAGCATTTGTGGTTCCTTTGCTAACATGTTCTTTGACGGTGCCAGTTGCGTGGTCTTCTCCTGCACAAAAACTGTTTGACACACAGTATTTATGCAGCCATCTATCTGTTTCCCAGAGGACATGCATGATGCTTTCTCTGGCAGTGTAACCATGACTCTCATGAGGCAGAATCACCAGCCGACAAAGAGCACCATGACCCTTCAAAGCGTTGAAAAATCTGTCTGACTGCATAGCAGGACAAAAGGTAAGCAGCAAGCAATTGGCTAATGAAAGGACTCCAGGTTTTTTCCAAAATACAGCAATAGCTTATGACAATAGCTCGGGCAAGAAATCCTTTCTTACCTGCATGGTTAATGTTCCTGAATTATTGTCCTCTTCCCCATGGATAAGCAAGATGGGCTTCTTAATTTTATTAGCCGACATAAAAGGACTCATCTCTACATAAGTATTAGTGGCCTCCCAAAGAGTTCTGTCTTCATTCTACAGAAGGAAATGGAGAAAAGACACATAAGACCATTGTCACCATTCTAAAATACACTCAATGTAACATGCAGTTCAAAGAATAGGGTATGAAAGCAGATTAGAATGAACTATAGGACAAAAGAAAAGACAATCTATGGATACTGGAACCCAAAAAATAAAAGCCATTACAAGCAATACCTGAAAACCAAAAGGAGTAAGAGTTCTGTTGTAAGCACCAGATCGAGCTATTCCACAACAGAAAAGATGAGGTGCGTGTGCCAGGAGGTTAGCAGTCATGAAGGCACCATAGGAATGTCCACCAACAGCTATTTTCATAGGATCAGCTACCTAGATGTGACAAGTGACAACCCAAAATGTCGAGTCATCATATTTCAATCATACTAACAACTTTATATTCTCCATATAGTAAAAAAAAAGTTTACCCCACGCCGGATAACTTCCTCCACAGCAGCCTCCGCACTTGCAACTAATTGTTCTACATACCTGGAACAAAGATATTTAGTTTATATCATATCAAAATTTGAACATGCTGGAAAAGAATAAAAAGCCTTACAAGTCCAAATATATGAAACTCCAATTTGAAGAGAAAATGAAAATGAAATTCATGGTGCTCAACAACTATTTAGTGATAAGTAAATGGTAAAGATCCTACAGCTATAACAATATCATTATCAAGTTACCTATCATTTGCCTCTTCATCACCCTCACCAATAATAGGAATGGTAGGACCAGATAGAATTGCAAACCTGTAGTATTTAAAGTATTCAAAGAACGATCCAGCTTATTAGAGAAATATATGTTGAATCAATAATGCTAAATTAGAAATAGCCAAACAGAACCCATACTTGGCAAAGACAATCAATACCTTCTAGCCAGCCAAAGAAGGGCTGATGTGGAGCCTATACCAGCGAATTCATTTGGAGAACCACGAACTTGTCCAGCAGCATCTTTGCTCTTAAACTCCCCTGGGTAAGACCAAACCAGGCATGGCAAAGGGCCATCTGTTGATGGATTGTAATCTGGTGGCAGGTATAATGTAGCAGTAAGTTGAACCCCATCTTTTCTTTGATACCTGATCATCTCTTTTTGCAATGATGCAAGCTGAGGGTATGGATGAGGGAAATTTGTAATCTGAACAATGTTTTTATCTGGCCAGCTAACAAAGTAATATTGGGTGTTTTCAGTTTTTGACTCTTTAGAAGTCAGTATCTTCAGCTTATCTAAATGCAAATCCCCTTCTACCTGATCAGACATTAGAGCAACAACAGTCTCATAATACTTTTCCTTATCGCTCTCCCAGATTCGTTCCTTAATACCTGTATTTCTGTAACATTTTGGTTCAAACCATCATATCATAACAGGGAATCTGTGAGAACATATGCAAAACAAGACAAGCAATTTAAGACACCTACATGTCAAACAGATCAAGGAATGGAATGTTTCCTTTTTCTGTAGCACCAACTCCGTTCAGTATAATATATCTCCCTTCATCACTTTCCTTCTTTATCCTGGCAATAATGTATGTCCCAGCTTGAGTTCTCCGCATCATAGGAGAGCCAGGATCAGAATACACATCTTCTGAAGATCTATCAAATAGGACGCGTGGAGCTACATCTTCAGATCCAGGAGAGACTACCCATGTTCTTATTTTCCGTGTTTTGTACCAAGATTCATATACCAGCGCCAGAGAATCATCACAC